AGGTTGAAAAGGTATGGAGATAGGATGCATCCCTGGCGTACGCCCTTCCCAATTTTGAACCATGCAGTGTTCCCTTGCTCTGTTCTGACGACTGCCTGCTGGTCCAAGTATAAGTTTCACATTAGAACGATCAAGTGTTCTGGGATTCCCATTCTTCTCAGAGTCAGCCATAGTTTGTTAATGTCTTAATCTTTATTACAACCTAGCATAGTGGATACTGTTACTCCCATTTTCCCATCAAAATGGCAGGTGGCAGAACTGTATTGGAATCACTCCTCATACTACTGCGTCCCTTCAAATTTAAGCAGTTTAGGGTTTGTAACTTTTTAAAAATAGTTTTGGAGTTTCAGAGAGGAGGTTGTGGAGTCAGTATCTCTGAGCAGATTTGAGATGAAGCCAGAATTAAGTGATTTGCAGTGATTATCTGGGAAAGAAGATCGGCATTAAGTGCAACACTGATGACACTTTTGGAGATCATAGCCAGACTGGCAACCGCTGGAACAAAATTATTCTTAAGAAATAGTGCAGGGAGCTCTGGTGGCCTAGTGGCAAGAAGCTGTGCTGCAGCGTCCTTCCATGCGATTAGGTAGGGAGAGATACGATAAAGATAAGTGGTGTAAATGGCATTTCCCACTTATATTGTATCTGCTCTTATATTTTCTTACATAATTTTGTCAGATTTGAGGGTAAATTGACATAATTTTTTTTTTATTTGTATGTTGCATTGGGAAACTGTCAAGAACCTCTCCAAAACGCTACAGAATAAGGATAACAGCTTGAAGACTATGGTGTGCCTGATCCAAGCCATTGTAATTTTAGTTGCTACCTATGCATCTGAAAATTGGACAGTGAATAAGGATACCAGAAGAATTTGTGCCTTTGAGTTGTAGTGTTGGAGAAGAGTACTGAACTTACAACAGACTGTTGAAAGAACAAACAAGTCTCTTGGAAAAAGGGCAATCAGTGTGCTTCTTAGAGGCAAGGATGGTGAAACTTTGTTTCACACATTTTGGGTATGTTGCCTAGAGGGACATCATGCTGAGAAAGATAGAAGGTCAGGGAGAAAAAGGAAGACCCTCAACAAGATGGATTGACACAGTGACTGTAACAATTGGTTTATCAGTGATGTTGAGGATGGTGCAGGATAGGGCAAGGTTCACATCTGTTTGTTCATTGGGTAGCTATGAGTCCTTGTCAATTTGATGGCCCCTAACAACAAAACTACATAGATGTATGAAGCTTGAAAGAAGAGTTGAAAAGTTCTTGTATTTTAAATTTACTTATTGATGTATATATTTTTTCTGTTTTCATTGTTGCACATTTCTTCTCCCCTTTATTCCCCCATCCCTGCCCCACTCTGCAATGCACTCTTGTTCCAGATTGTTCTCATACATATATTGTTCTCATGCATAATCATATATTTCTTTCAGACAGTTCTTCCCTTCATTTGTTCTAATGCAGTGTTCATTTTTTGTCCATTCTTTTCCAGTTCCCTCCCAGCCTCTCCATATCTGTCCTATTTTATAATAGCAGTGTTATGCAGTATTTGTCCTTTAATGTCTAAGATATTTCACTTAGGGTACTCCAGACACTCCCATGTTGTTTAATGTTTAACTCTTTCTTTTTTTCAGTGCTGCATAGCATTCCCTTGTATTAATGTACTATAGTTTTTCTAGAAGTTTGTTGATAGGCACTTGGGTTGCTTCCATCTCTTTGCAATTGTGAATAATGCAGCAATAAATATGGGTGCACATACGTCTGTTTGAGTTGTGGATATTCCTAGTAGTGGAATTTCTGGGTCAAATGGTTTTTCTATTTCCAGCTTTTTGAGAAAGCCTCAGATCACCTTTCATAGTGGTTGTACCATTTTACATTCTCACCAGTGATCAGTAAGAGTTCCAAGCTCTCCACAATCTCACCAGCATTTGTTGTTTGCTGCCTTGCTCATCTTTATTATTGTTGCTGGAGTAGATGATATCTCATAGTTGTTTTCATTTTGCTATTCTTTATAGGTGTTCGAAAACTCTCTGAAGAGGTTTTCTGCGGAAGAACATAACATCTTTACAGAGTTTAGTTTGTTGTGGTTCACTCCTTAGGATATGTCCCATGGCCTACCTCCAAGGCTTCTTTCTCTGAGTGTGCATGTATGTGTGTCTAACTACTCACTTTTAAAATATGGTAATAAAGCAAAAGTAAAATGACTTTTATGTTTTCACTTGTTTATATTATTTGGGGAGGAACAAATGAATTTAGAAATTGCTAAGTATTTGGAAAAGGACACCTAATAACAAAGCCAAGTAGTTCAAAAGAAAAGTTATCCATATTCATAGGATTTCCTTGGGGCCATTTAAAGATATGTTAGATTTCAGTCCTTGAGTAACTAATGAAATTAGAATATGTGCAACTTCTACCTGTTTATGAGGAATCCTAATTGTGTGGTCTAAATTCCCAATTGTTAGAGAGGGTGACATAGTCCTTAGCGGATTTGCACTGGTAACCTAAAGACCTTGCCTCTTGTGGTTGAACTCGCCAGTGGTTCGATTGGAGAAAGATGGGCAGTCTCCTCCCGTACAATACACAGCTTTGGAAACCCCATGGAGGCTCAGCCAAAGACAGTAATTTTTCTTGAAGATTAGTGTTCTATTTTCAAGAATAATGTTCTTTTTTAAAATGATATATACAGGACCAAATGGCTAACACATTATGAATATGAAAAGGTAAGGAACAAAGAAACTAGATTAATAAAAATACAAAAACTAGAATGGAAATAATAAGAAATGTTTGTGCATTATAAAGAATATAACCAATGTCATTGAACAGCTTACATAGAAATTGTTGAAGGGAACCTAAACTGCTGTATAAGTCTTTACCAAAAACATAATAAAATTTTATAAAGAATTTTACATGCATTTTTTTTTAAGGAGAACAGAAAAAATATTTTGTCTTGATTAGAGGTAAATATATTGTCACAGTGACTAAAGAAGACGTTGTTAGGGGTCATTGAGTCATAGGTGACTCATAGCGACCCTGTGAATGAAAGACCTGAACACTTGTATAACTTTCATCATTTCTCCATGTTCATAGAGTTTCCAGAGACAAGCTATTTTGGAAGTGGGTGCAACTCCTGCTTCCAAGCTTGTTTAATTGGGGAGCTCCACCAAACACTGTCCACCGTGGGTAACCCTTATCACATTTGGCACATCAGTGTCACAGTGTTCAGCATCACAGCAACCACGAGTTACTTCTGTACAGCAAATGGACACACCAGTGCTATACCACTTGGAAGAATGTTTGAGCAAAACCAATTAAAACCAAGCCTGAGGGCCACAGACTAAAATAACCCACCTTTGGCTTGGTAGCGTCACTTTCTAGCCACTAGGCCAACATGAAAAAGTATTCTTTTCTGGTTCAAAAATAAAGTTAGTTCATTTTGGATCTTTTGGCATTGTATTAGACACATTAAATGTAGGAAAATGTCTAACCCTGAAGAGTTCGTTATGATGTTTTGTTAAATACTTATTTGCCCTGATAGATGTGTGTTTTGTTTTTCTGTACAAGTAACCCTTCTCTGGGGCTCAATTTTGGAACTCTTGGGAGCAGTGCAACTCCTGCAACGACCTCTGCTCCTTCAGTTGGTTTTGGAACTGGGCTCTTTGGATCAAAACCTGCCACTGGCTTTACTCTTGGAGGAACAAATACAGGTAGGAAGGGGCATCAAATATTTAAAGATGTTGTTGTGGTGCTGTCATCAAGTCAGAACAAACACATAGCTCAACCTCCAGTGGGTTTTCAGACTCATTTAATTTCCCATCCTTCTCCAGAGGAGCAGCTGGTGGATTTGAGCCATGTGCCTTTGGGGTTGCAGCACAGCTTTTTGCTACTAAGCCACCAGAGCTTGAAATATTTATTCTTACTGGAGTTTTGTTTTGCATCTCCTGCCTTTATAAGGGTTGTCAAAAGTTCTAGACCTGAAAACTAGTAAATATTAAGATGACAGGAAGTTGAGGGATTTGGAAGGGCAGGCTGGTGATAAGTCTAGCTATAGGCTGTGGTCTCCTCTAGTGTAAGGAAGGTGGCCTGGTCTTTAGGGAATTGTGCTGCTAGCCCAAAGGCTGCGCCTTTCTACCAATTCAAAACCACCAGAAGGGATAAAGATGCAATCTCCTTTGGTTTTCAGCCTTGGAAACTTGCTGTAGGGCCATCTAGGAGTCACTTCTGACTCAACAGTGAAAGGAAACCAAACACACATTCAGATACATACATTTACTGATAACTTCTTTAAGAATAATGAATTAAAGCAATTTAAAGTTTTATGTTAGATTATATAATACAATATTTGCAGTCAGTTTCCCAATTTTAAACATTTACTAATTTAACATATATTGGGAACAATCAGCCTCCTACTTTGCAATAACGTCAGATAGTCCTAGACGAACTTAAGTTTTTGTGTTATTAAAACTTGTTTTAGTGGGAAAAGGACTTGAAAGTATGTTTCAATAATGTAAAGCACTTTTTTTGCCTTCTTCTTAATAGCCATAAGTATTTTGTTATAAGCTAAAAATAACATCTCACTGGAACGGAGCACTTAATATGTAGCAGAGCTTCATGGTCATTGTGGCCACCATTTGCATTGCCTCGACAGCTTTGATTGCTGCACGACCCTGCATAGAAAACGAAATAGCATCACGGTAACCAGGAGCATGCCTGGCGGGCAGCGCCAGAGGCAGCACCGGGTTCCTATGCTTTGCTTGCAGGAGCTTTTTACCTCACTCAGTTTTTCTTATAAGTAGCCAGTGAGTTGACCTTTATGAGTAGTCATTCATATGATTCATATTTTATAAATCTTATTTGATAATTAGTCAAATTACATACAACTTTTAAAATGAAAGCTTATATTGCTTAATAGATGTAGTGGAAGATAGTTATGATACTTACTTGATTCATTAGAAATATTATTATTCCCTGGCATAATTTTAACTCTTTTCCCTTTTGATAAATAAACTGAAATGAATGTGTTGTATTGATGATGAAATTTTTTTTTCATTTTTCTTTTTTTGTCCGTAGGAATTGCAACAACTATTTCTACAGGATTAACTCTGGGTAAGAATTCTTGAGATAGATCCCTTATCTGTATTTTCTAATCATTTAAACTAGTTAAATGATCTTCCTTCTCTTCTTGTCTGATATTGCCCAGAGATGGAGAAGCATGTGAGGAGCTGAATGTAGGTCACAGATACCCAGTGACCAGAGAAGCTTTCAGTATTTTAATATTCTAAATAATTTGGAATTAATACTATTCTTTTTAATTAAAAAACCTTAAATTATATATCTAACTTTTCATATGAAAATTTATTTCACTTCCCTTTCCCCTTATCCCCAATAAGTTTTGTTGCACAAGCACTAATTGAGAAGAAATCAGAGTAGCTCTCATACTATGCATGAGATGTTAGATAGCCATGTGATTTCTGGGGACTTTTAGTTATCTATAAAGTGAGAATATTCAAGTTTTCATCCTTCTCCAGCTCAGAAACATGGCACTGTAGTACCTGTAGAAATGTAAATGCCTAAGATTGTAACCTATATTGAAAATGGATGGAAGGAAATAAATGTGAGAAGAAATGAGAGAGGACAGGACATTAAGGAATTTTTGTGCTGTTTAACTCATAATGGTTCCAACCCTGGAAAATCTTTAGTAAAAGACCAAAGACTAGTAAGCTCCGGAGTGAAACCTGAGTATGCATTAAGGAATTTTTAAATTTAAATTAATTAAGCAGTGGCAAACTTTCTGCCCTTGGGTGCTTAAATACAGCAAAACAAACTAGAGCATCCCCACAATCTGTAAGTCTTTTCCAACTCAGAGACCCTGGAGGACAGAATGGAACTGCCTCATAGGGATTTAATGTTGCCATCTTTACAGAAGCTCACTGCCCCATGGAGCATCTGGTGGATTTGAACTGCTGACCTTTCATTTAGCAGCGAAGACTTTACCACTGGTGTTACCAGATTTATTTCAGTGGCATTTAAAACAGAAAACACAGCGCATCTGTTTACCACCAGTGTTTGGACAAGATTGGATACAAAGGTCTTGCATTCGATCAAAGCCCTGCTCCCTGGCAGGGACTTCAGTTGTAGCCAAGACAGTCTAGAAGCAAAATTTTTGACTTCTTTATTCAGTGAATTCAGGAGAAGCCAGTGTGGTTTTCCATGTTTGTTCATTTATTATTTTCATAAGCAAATACTAGTCCATAGTTGGAAAAGCTGATAAAGGGTGTCCGTTTTTTAAAAAGATAACATAATTTTAAAGTAGATTAAAGGTAAGCAGAAATTGATAGCATAGCTACAAATGAGAAGACTATTGTACTCTTTCTTGGGAAGGGGAAAAAACTAATCTTAAGCTTTTTGAGGATGCCTGGAATCTAGGGGTACTTGGATTTGCTACTAGGGAAAAGGATCACTGGTGGTATAGTGGTTAAAGAATTTAGCTGGTAACCAGAAGGTCAGTGGGTTCCAGTCTACCTGCTGCTTCTTGGGAGATAAAGAGACTGACTGCTTGCCTCTGTGAAGATTATAAGAATGTTGTGGACAGATCTGCTTTGTGCGATGGTGTCATTTATAAGTCACGGTCAACTTGACTGTAGTGGTTTAGCTAATTGTAACCTCTGGCCTGAATGGAATTGAAGGTGAAGAAGTTAAGAAGAGTTCTTTTTTAAACTGTAGAGGGAGATAGTTCACCTCAGGACTTGCACTGAACTGAATTGACATCAGGTAGAGATTGCCAGTGAAATCTAAAGTATATACAGATTTAGCCTCATGGACCAGCAGCTGTAAGTTGGAAACTAAGTGAAAATGAGACAAAAAATGAAGGAGTTATCACTTACATAAACAGAAAAGGAAAATCTACAAAAGAGCCCTGAAAGAGTATAGTGAAGAGGAATAGAAAAAGTCCTAGAGCAAGCAGAAATACAGAAACCAAGAAGGAAAGAACATTAAGGAGTTGTTGTTAGGTGCTGTTGAGTTGTATATGACTCCTAGCAATCCTGTTAAAAACAGATCTAAACCCTACCCTATCCTGTGCCAGTCTCCTTATCTCTGACACATGTAAGCCCATTGCTGCAGGCACTGTGTCAGTCCATCTTTTTTTTTTTAATTATTATTTTATTAGTGTGTGTGTGTGTGTGTGTGTGTGTGTGCGCGCGCGCGCGCGCGTACCATCAAATCAGATCTGACTAGTACAGGAGGAGATTGTCCCTCCTTTCCCGGCAGGGCATCTGGTGGATTTGAACCATGCACCTCTGGGATTGCAGTGCAGCTTCTTGCCACTAGGCCACCAGAGCTCTCCTGTCAGTCCATCTCTTTGAGGGTCTTCCTCTCTCTGACCCTTTTTCTTCCCAAGCATAACCCTTTCCAAGGAATAGCCCCTCCTACCAACATGCTCAAAATAATGTGAGGTGAAGTTTTGCCTTCCTGGCCTCCAAAGAGCACTCTGGCTACACTTTTCCCAAACATGTCAATTTGATTTTTTTGCAATCCATGATATATTTCAGCGCTCTTCTCCAGCACCACAACTGAATGTATAAATTCTTTTTCTGCCATCCTTTTTCTTCATTGTCCAGCTCTTAGATACATAACAAGTGATTGAAAAGATCACGGCCTGAATCGGGCACATCTTAGTCTTCAGACTGACATCATTGCCCCACAGTAATCTGCAGAGATCCCTGACAGTGGATTTACCCAGTGCAGTACATCTTCTGACCTCAAGTGTGTCATTTGTGGATCCATGGAAGAGGAAATTATTGACAATTATTTCAATCTTTTCTCCATCTATTGTTGCCTGTTGGTCCAGTGGTGAGGATTTTTATGTTCTTGATGCTTAGATGTAATCCATGGTGAAGGCTATAGTCTTTGATCCTCTGCAGTGTTTCAAATCCTCCTTTTCACCAAGCAAGATTGTGTGTACTGCTTAGCACAGGATATTGATGAGTCTTCCTCTAATCCTGATGCCGATTGAGTAGGTGTGGGAAAAGGATACAACACTTTCTTGATTTTAAACCATGCAGTATTCCCTTGTTCTGTTCACACAAAGCTTCTTGATCTAGGTATAGGTTTCATATGAACACAGTTAAGTCTTCTGGGATTCTCATTCTCAATGATAACGATAGTTTTTTTGTGATCCACACAGTCAGGTGCTTTGGCATAATCCATAAAGCACAAATAGCATTCCTCTGGCATTCTTTTCTTTTAGCCAGATCTATTGACATCAGCAGTGACATTTTTGGTGCTATGGCAACTTGTAAACCCAGCTTGAACTTCTGGCAGTTCTCTGTCACTGTAACTGTTCTTGGCCATTCTTGGTTGATCTTCAGTTTGTTTGCATGTGATATCAACGATATTGTTATAAAATTTCCACATGCTATTAGATCACCTTTCTTGGGAACGGTTACAGATAGGAATCTCTTCCGGTCAGTTGGGCAAGCATCTATCCTCTAAATTTCTGAGCATAGACTGGGCAACACGTCCAGGGCTACATCTCATAGTTGAAATAATGTTAGTTGATATCTCATAGATTCTTGAGGCCTTATTTTTTGCCAAAGCCTTCAAATTCAGCTTGAATTTCTTCCTTCATTACCATTAATTCTTGTTCATATGGTACTTCCTAAACTTTCTCAGTATCAATCAGTTCTTATTGTTACCGTGACACTGTGTATTTCTACTGTCTTCTTTTAATGCTCCCTGGATCATTCAAGATTTTGCCCAGCGCATCTCTCACTCAGTATTATAACTCAAGACTTGAATTTATTTTTTAGTTCTTTGAACTTTGGAAATGCTGAGTGAGTTCTTCCATTTTTATTTTCCAAGTCAAGCTCTTTGCACATTGTTTTAATATTCTACGTTGTCTTCTTGAGATGCTGTTTGAAATCTTCTGTCCATTTCAGCATTTCCTTTTGTTTAGTGTCTCAATGCTATAGTGGTGCAATTTTCAGAGTCTCTTTGGACATCCATTTTGTTCTTCTGAATCTTTGCCTCCAAGGAGAAACTTCATTTCATCCTCTCAAAGTCAGACTGACTTGTTTTCCTGGTGGTCCACAGTATGTTCAAGACTCTTCTCCAGCACCACAACTCAAAGGCATCAATTCTTCTTTTGTCATCTTTAGTCACTGTCTATCTTTCTATTGCATAGCAAAAAATGGCAAAGACCATGGTCTGGATTAAACACTCTTTAGTCTCTAGACTGACATTATTGCTTTTCAGTACTCTGGAGAGGTCTCTGTCAGCAGATTTACCCAGTGCAATTTATCTTTTGATTTTCTGAGTGCTGGTGCCAAGAGTGTTGATTGTGGAGCCGAGCAAGCTGTAGAAAACTAGCCAAGTAATTGTTAATAACTTCAGTCTCTTCATCTATCATGGTGCTGCCAGTTGGCCCAATGGTGAGAATTTTTGTCTTGTTGATATTGAGCTGCAGTCCATACTGAAGACTATAGTCCTTGACCTTCTTCAGCAAGCACTTCAGGTCCTCTTCAGTTTCAGCAAGCAGGGTTGTGTCATCTGCATAATGTAGGATGTGTAATCTGCATAATGTAGGTTGTTGATGAGTCTCCCTCCAGTCCTTATGCCGCATTCCTCCTCATAAAGCCATGCCTCCCAAGTGATCTGTTCTGCATACAGACTGAAGAGGTACAGGGACAGGATGCATCCCTGATGCACTCCTTTCCTGGCTTTGAACCATGCAGTGTTTTCCTTGCTCTTTAGCTTCCCTTAACCTGGGAGCTCTGCTGAAGCCTGTCTACCATGGGTGATCCTTCTGGCCTTTGAAACAATGGTGATGGAGCATCCACAAACCACAGCAACTCACAGGTTACCCCAGTACAACAAGCTGAGAGACACTTGCTGTACTAATAAGATGTAAAGATTTACGGACCTAAGATAAAAAGTAATTAACAGCATGTAACTAATTCATCTAACATTATGAACTCATAGCTAGGTATTGTACCTTTAAAAACAAACTGTAAAACAAAACGAGAAAAAAATATTCTTGTCCAAAACCACAACCCCCCCCCAAAAAAAAAAAAAAATAAAAACAAACCATAAAGACAATGAGGCATATGAATATAATAGTACAGTCCAGGTTTCTGGCCAGATCTGAAACCTGTGGTGGCATGGCAGGTTGAGAAGGAGAGATGGTCTTTGAGAAAAATAACCATTTTTCTGCTGAGATGGAAGGAAGAGAAATGTTGGGCTAGGATAATCCAGGAATGGAATGGAAACTGAATTGCTTCCATTATATTGACTGGATTTTCCTTTGCTTTTCTTGACCCACAAGACCCATTTTTTTAAAATATTCATTGTGATCTCGTCTAATTTTTTTTTCACACACAAGTACATCTAACTTATATCTTAACTATAGAAAGTAGGAGCACAAACTTTGAAGAATCCAAAGAGGTTGAATTGAATCTGAATCATAGCAACTCTATACTATCCCCTCTCCTCAACAGGAGCACCAGCCACTACATCAGCATCTACCACAGGTTTCAGCTTGGGGTTCAATAAGCCAGCAGCGTCTGCCACGCCCTTTGCCCTGCCAATTGCTTCTACCTCAGCTGGTGGTCTCACTCTCTCATCAGCTCTGACATCAACTCCAGCAGGTGAGGCACGATGGGCAAAGATGTTCTGTTCTGTTTGATGGGTTTGAATTCTTATTTTACTTGGTAGTTACTAAATAAAAAATGTCTCTATTAACCTTAACTTGAATTTGGGTGGATTTTTAGTTCAGCCATTTGGCAGTTTTGACTTTACTATATTACTGATGGAGGAGTTACTGTGATGATGAACTACTGTGCCAAGGTGTGTCAAACACCATAATTGGCTACCCATTGTGGGCTGTGTTTGAGGGAGCTCCCAGATTGATTCAGGTTTGGAATCAGGAGTGGCATCACTTCCAAAACCACATGCCTCTGGAAACTCTATGAACCTGGAAAAACAATGATAGTTGATAGAAAGGCTTTAAGCCTTTTATTCATAGAGTTGCTATGAGTCATGCTCAACTTGATGGCAATCAACAACATACTACTAATGTATATAGAAAGAAAACCAGCATCAGGCATTAAAGAAGCAGAGGCCCTTTGGGGATTTGGTCTCTGTTTACAGATCAAAGCAAGAGCGTGAGAAAGGTAAAATCCATGGTAATGTAAACCTTTTTGATTTGTGTTTTTAAATATCACAGAACTTTTAAAAGGAAAATATCAAATACTTGTTTAATGCTTATTCCTTATTTTTAAAACTTTTCATTTTGGTTTGAGCACATGCTTATAGTTTAAGTAATTTTCCAATTTGGTTTCATGGTGCTGGTCACAATCTCCACTGGGTAACAGCACTCTTCCTGCTTCCTTCCTGGGTTCCCTGTTTTCACTCATCCTTTTTTCCCTGCCCCTTCTTTTTGTTTTGGGGCAGTTGTTTTAGAGCACTTTCTTCCCTGGTATTATTGTTCACTTTCTCACTCATTGCCATCAAGTCAGAACCACCTCAGAGCTGACCTTTCAGTGTGTTTCCAAGGCTATAAAACACACAAGGATTTGTAGTCCTATTTCTCATGCAGAGCTGTGATAGAGTCAAACTGCCAGAGAGATGTGGCCTTTGATTTAACAACCCAACTCCCTAGGAACTAGGTCTCCAGAGCTCCCTGTTTTCTTTATGTTATTATGTACCACTGAGTAGGAATTAGCTCAGCTGATCCAGATTTTCAGAGGCAGTAAATTTCTTGGGAGAAGATTGCCCATCTTTCTCCTGTGGAATGGATGGCGAAATTAAACTATTGCCTTTGGGTTGGCAGTACAGCTCCTTACCACTAGACCACCAGAACTCCCTACATTTGATTAGCATATTTAGTTAATACCCTCATTGTGTATTGCCTTTCCCTTTACCTAACTTAGGCTTTTTTGTTTTTAACCCTCCATTAGTATTCTTTATCTACTACTTATTTTTTGCTTTGCCTCTATTATTTCTCTATCTCAGATAAATATTATTTTGTCTATAAAGGATAGTTTTTTCATAGAACCGATTTTACCATGGAAAATATTTTTTTTTTTAAAAAGCTGTGTTTTTCTTTATTTCTGTTTGGAAATAATGCTGGCCTGGTGTCATCTTTTACAGCTTCCACAGGATTCACTCTGAACAATTTGGGAGGAACACCTGCCACAACAACAGCCGCATCCACAGCCCTTTCCCTTGGGGGAGCCCTAACTGGCTTGGGAGGTTCACTGTTCCAAAGTACAAACACAGTAGCATCAGGTAATCCAGGATGTTGGTTCGCTAGGAATACTGGCTACTTACACTCAGATTGACTTTTTCTTTTCTTTCTTTTGGCCTTCTGAGCACTTTGTTTTTTTTAACTTGTATGTTTTATTATTATTATGAAGGCAGAATTATGTTTTTCACAAATAATTGGACATCTCTGCCATGTTTAGAAATGTTGGACATCTTTGCCATTTTAAAATGAACTTTTTTAAAATATTTACTGGCACAATACAGAATTGTAAAGGAACATATGCACAAGAGAATCTTGTATTTCAATAAGTGATAGTCAAATAGTCTTGGGTTATTTAGAGTCTAAATTCTTTGTAAGGTCATTTGACCTTTTAAGCCATATTGCTGGGAATGGCTTTCCATTATTCAAAAGGGTAGTAACATATTTAGAAAGGAAGATTTTAAACACATGTTAAATAATTTCAGTCAAAGTATTGAATATACCATGGACTGCTAAGAGAATGAACAGGTTCGTCCTGGAGAGGATTAAACCAGGCTGCTCATGGAGGCAAGAATTCTGACATACTTTGGACATGTTGCAAGGAAGGACCAGTCCTTGGAGAGGGACGTCATGCTTGGGAGGGTGGAGGGACAGTGCAGGAGAGGAAGATCCTCAATGAGATGGATTAATTCAGTGACTGGGGTAATGGGGGTGGGTTTATTGGAGACAGTGAGATTGGCACAGGATAGAGCAGGGTTTAGGACTGTTGTACATAGGGTCACTATGAGTCATAGGCAACTCAAGGACACATAATAATACAACATTGGCTTGCCCAGTATGTGGTTGCTGTTATGTGCTATCAAGTCAGAACTGACTTAACTGACCCTCCAGTGGTTTTTCAGAGGCTGTAAATCACGTGACAGAAGAGTTACCTATCTTGCTTTGGCAGAGCAGTTGGTGGATTCAAACCTTGTGCCTAGCATAGAATATTAAATAGTATTTCAGATTTTATTTGAATCTCTATTTTGAGTGTCTTTATTGGTTCTTGCTAAAGTCTGCATAAGAAGCCCTTGTGGCATAGTATATTATGTGTTGGGCTGCTAACTAGACGGTTAGCAGTTCAAATCCATTAGCCTTTCCAAGGAGGAAAAATGGGTAGTCTTCTATAAAGGTTTATAGCCTCAGAAATCCACTAGGGGGTAGTCCTGAGTCAGAATCTACTCAGTGGCAGTCGAGTTTAGGGTTTTTTTAAAAAACATTTTTGCTAGTTTAAACAATCTAAAGATACGCAGATGCATTAAAGGCCACGCCTTTTAAATCTAGGTTCAGAGTGCCAACTTTTCAGTTAGTGGGTAAGCACATAACCAGTGCCACAAGATTTTGTCACATTGCTAAGATTTAAACCTAATTTTACTCTTAACCATCTGCTATATTCTTAAAGTAGCATTTTGTTCTACAATTAAAAACACTTGAATTAAAATTAACATGTGGGTTTATGAACTTCCATAAATATCAACTAATTTGACACAAAATTCTTAAAATGTAGCAACTTAATTTGTAAATGTATGGTGATTATGGCCTCACCCCTTCAGTTTCTTTTAGCAATGAGAAAAAATGAAAACAATAAATTTTAGGCCTGTATTAAGAAAAGAAAAGTTTTAAAAAAGTAACTTCCCTGTTGCCTTTGAGTCAATTCTGACAGCAGTTGTGTAAGATACAGTAGAACTACCCACAAAGTAGCAAAGGCCTTAGTCTTTCTGGAAGCACTCTGCCACATCTTTCTGCCACTGAGCAGCTTGTAGATTCAAACTACTAACCTTTTCTATAGTAATTGGCTGCTTAACCACAGTGCCACACAGCCTCCATTCGCTTAACTGGGAATGCGACATTTGGTATTTGTTCAACTGTAAGACTTCTAAATAATTTCTTTCAGTTTCACTGATGATAATACTCATTCCTTTACATAATATTAAAATTATAAAAATGTATTTTAGATTATTTTAAAATCATGAAATCTAATGCATGATAAGAAGCCAAGATGTTTTCATTGGAAACTATACAACTTAACCTATGCAACTATGATCTTAAAATCACAACTGACAATGCCTAGTGTTCTGGCTTCTAGGGATTCTGTAGGACAGCATGGAACTGCCTCATAGAGTTTCCAAAGCTGCCATCTGTTGGGAAGCAGATGCCTCTTCTCTCCTTGAGGTGACTTTGCACTGTCAGTTACCAATAAGGACTTACCCTCTGTGCCATCAGGGCTCCTTTAATAATGCATTATTATGAATGAAAATTAAGTGTACAAATGTTTTGAATTAAGAGATACATCATGACCTCTTTAATAAAGAAATATTAAACAATCTAAACAGTATACTGTTGAATCTAGCAAAAATAATCAGTTCTTGTGTAAAACCTGCTCTAGAATTGTTTTTTATCATTTTGCCTAAAATGAATGTAAAAGAAAGATGGTATCCAACGTAAAAGCATGTCAGTGCCTTGGTAAGTGATGAGAAATTTTGTAAAATCTTTGATTGAACTTGGTTTGTGGTGTTTGCTTTCTTTGTAGGACTTGGACAGAATGCTTTAGGCTTGACTTTGGGAACTACTACAGCTACTTCAACAGCAGGCAATGAAGGCCTTGGTGGTATAGATTTTAGTAGCTCATCAGATAAAAAAAGTAAGTAATACTGGAATTTTCTGTTTTAACAGTTGGAGAAATTTTTACTCAAGCTTCATATGTCTGGCATTTCATTAGTTGATATTAATGTTTTCCTTTTAATTTCTTTGTCATTAATATTTGACAGACTGTATTTCACATTTTTTTTTATAATTATATTTTATTAATTTTCATAAACATTTACAGAGATTTTGGGTTTCCATTCATTCACCGCTGCACCATTCTCTCTACCCTCCTCCCAGTTTGTTCTTGTCCAAATGCCACAGTGCTTGTCAAAGCCAGTTCTGATTAATCTTCTTTGTCAGTGTGTCCTTTGCCATTCCCTATCACTCCTCCCTGAGAGAGACTTCACCCTGAGTCATAAGGAAAAGGGGACGGCGTATTCTCTTAGCTACTTCCTGCTGAAAAGGGACGCTGTGGGTTTCAGGGTGAAGATCTTCTCTCACTACTCTAAAGGGCCCCTTTGGCAGTAGGAAACACATAGACTATTATGGAGATTGATTTTGGAATTTAGATGCACTCTTATTGATTGTGCTTGGCCATACATGTTCATATCCTTGAAGATGTATCATGGGGGTGTTGCAACCTAGAAGACACAAATTTGACTAACAAGTTATAAGTACATGAGTCAAAAATTATGGAAAAGTAAAAGAAAAGATTCTTTCATGTATTTCACATTTAAACTTTAAATTTATTTCTTTTTAAAAACGTCTAATTTTTTTATTTGCATGAAGATTTTTAAATTGCATTGGTTTTTCAGTCAACCATTCATATATAAACTTTAAATTTTTAACAGCTTGGATTTATATATGTTTTACATAGCTATTATAGTAGGTATGTTAGTAAGTTTTTAAATTGGAATTATACATATTTTTTGTGTGATAACTCTAATTAAAAGCTCCTTATGTATTACAGTTGTTCTAAACTAAATATATATATTATTTTTATTATCTGTTCCTCAGAATTTGAAGCTTAGGTTTTCGAAAACATTACACCAATTAATGACAGTTTTAAAAATGGTTATGTCTTAGTTTAATCTTAATTATTTAGCTATTATTTCTAACTTTTTTTTAACTTGGGACATGCCAGTATATTAGACATCTTTATGTATGAGAGAGAAAATGGTATCATAATTAAGAGGGTCAATTCTAGAATTTAATTGCCTGAGTTCAAATCTTAGTCCATCTCCTTATGAACTCTGTGACCTTTTTCAAGTTATTTAACCTCTGCATGCCTCACCTTCCACTTTATACATATGGAGGGAAATAATGATAATACTAGCTTCATGGGCTTGGTTTTAGATTTATCATCTGTACTTAGAATCGATTCCTTAGTGACCTTCCAGTCGGTTTTCAGCAGCTCTAAATTACACAGCTATAAAGCACACACATAATTTTCCTGTGGAGTAGCTAATGGATTAGAACTGACTGCCTTTGGGTTGACAGTGCAACACCTTCCTTAGTAGGCCACCAGGGCTCCTTAGTTTGAGTATTCTAATCTGTAAAACCATAGGAGGTTCCCCATACATAGTAAATATTTTCCTAAATTTTTGTTTCTGTTTTAGAACTTAAATCATTGACTTAGAGGCATTTATTGGAGACTGTTGACATACTCTGATATGTCTTTCTGAAAAAGTTTTACCAACTTATTTAGCCCCAACTCAGTATGAAAATGCCTCTTTTGCTGTACCTCCTCTTGGCTATGATGAATATTGTTACTAAATTCATATAAATGAACTTTGGTCTTTCATATTCATTATCCAGCTGTCAGATACATAGCAAGTGATTGAAAAGACTATGGCCTGAATCAAGTGCATCTTAGTCTTTAAAATGATAATCATTACTCCTCAGCAATTTGGAGATGTCCCTGACAGTAGACTTACCAATGCTGTAGGTCTCCTGATCTCCTGGTCTTCTTTTGTTGTTGTTGTTTTTCTTTTTTTGTTAATTTCAATGAAAGTTTACAGAGACTTTGGATTTCCATTCATTCGTTGTTGCACTTTTCTCCTTGCCCAACCTCCCCACCAGTTCACTCTTCTCTTTGAAAAGTAAAAGAAAAATTCTTTTATTGTTACACAGTCCTTCCTCCAAAGTCCACTCCACTATGCAGCCTTTGTTTTAAAAAGTAAAAGAAAAATTCTTTCACTGTTATACAATCCCTCGCCCCAAGTCCACTCCACTATGCAGCCTTCATTCTGGACTTCTGTCATGACAATAATACCAAATCCTATATCCCTTTTAAACAGTTCTCTCCCTTATCTGTTTCAGTGCAGTATACATAATTTATCCCATCTTTCTCAGTCTTCCCCCCAACCCCGATGTCAGTCCCATTTTACAACAGTGGCACTATGCAGTATTTGTCCTTTTGGAACTGAGATATTTTACCCAGCATAATGTCCTCCAGGGTCACCCATTTTGAATAATATTGCATGAGTTCCTTGTTTTTCAGTGCATCATAGTACTCCATTGTGTGAATATGCCACAGCTTCTCTATCCATTCATTTGTTGATGGGCTCTTAGGTTGTTTACAACTCCTTGCTATTGTGAACAAAGCTGCGATAAACACGGGTGTGCATATATCTGCTTGGGTGGCGGTTATGGTTACTTTGGGGTATATTCCCAGTAGTGGAATTGCTGGGTCAAATGATATCTCTATTTGCAATTTTTTGACAAAGTGCCATACTGCCTTCCATAGTGGTTGCACCATTTTACACTCCCACCAACAGTGAATAAGGGATCCAGTTTCTCCACAACCTCTCCAGCATTTACTGTTTGCTTTTCTGTTGAATTTTGCTATTCTTTTACTAATGGTTTTGATTTGAATCTCTCTTAGAGCTAGGGATTTTGAACATTTCTTCCTGTGTTTGTTTGCCATCTGAATGTCTTCTTTGGTGAAATGTCTGTTCATATCCTGTGCCCATTTTTCAGTTGGGTTGTTTACCTTTATCTTGTTGTGGTGCTCGAATATTTAATGAATTCTAGATATAAGTAATTTAATATGTCATTTTCCCTGTCTGTGGCTTCCCTTTTTACCCTGTTGGAGAAGTTTTTGGATTATGCATAGGGATTTGATTCTTAGAAGGTCCCATTCATCTGTTTTATCCTCTCCTGGTTTTAGAGTTTTGGGGATGCTTGGAAAACTGTTTATGTTATGGATTAGGACTTCTGGAGTCTATATGTCTTTTTGATGTTGCGTTCCAAACCATATTGAAGGCTGGATCTTCTTTGACTTCTTGATCAAAGAAGTCTTTGATCTTCTGCAGAAAGAGATTCAAGTCATTGTCTCTTTTCAGCGAGCAAACTTGTGTCATTTGCATAGTGCAGGTTATTGATGAGTCTTCTTCAAATCCTCATGCCACATTCTTCTTAGAGTCTAGCTTCACGAATGATTTGTTCAGCATACAGATTAAATAGGTGTGGAGAAAAGATACAACCCTGACACACACCCTCCAGATTTGAAGCCATGCAGTATTCCCTTGCTCTGTTTATACAGCAGCCGCTTTGTGTAGGTCATTTAAGTTTTGGAATTCCCTTTGTTGTCAGTATTAGCCTTCATTTGTTGTGATCCACAGTCAAATGCTTTGGCATAGGCAATAAAACACAAATAGACATTCTTCTGGTGTTTTCTGCTTTTAGCCAGGATCTATCTGACATCAGCAATGACGCACTTGGTGCCATGGTCTCTTCTATACCCATCTTGGACTGCTGGCATTTCTCTGTCAGTGCACGTTATTGCTGTTTCAGGATGATCTTGAGCAATATTTTGCTTGCATGTGGTATTAATGATATCATTTCTAGATCTTTCCTAGTCAGTTAGTCAAGCAGCTGTCTAAATTTCCTGGCATAGACTGGTGAGCATACCCAGAACTACATCTCTTAGTTGTAACATGTAAATTGATATCTCATAAATTCTTGGGGCTTATTTTTTGCCAATGCCTTCAGTGCAGCTTACACTTCTTCCTTCCTTACCGCTGGCTCTTTTTCATTTTTCAGTGTCAACGAGTTCTTTTTGATCCAGTGACTTTGTATGCTCTTTCCATCTTCTTTTGACACTTCCTAAATTACTCAAGATTTTGCTCATTGCATCTCTTAGCATCACAACTTGAGACTTAAATTTATTTTCCAGTTCTTCCAGCTTGAGAAATACTGAGTGAATTCTTCCTTTTTTATTCCCCCACTCCAGCTCTTTGCACATTCCATTATACTACTTTGCCTTTGTTTGAGATTAATAAGAGTTTAAAATTTTTCCACAAGAACAGTTGTGTCATTTGCATATCACAGGTTGTTAGTTTTCCTTATTAACATGTAATTGAAATTAAAATACCCCCCCCTCCCTCCGCACTCCATGGCTCTGTATTAGTCTAAGAGTTGAAGTGTCAGCAGGAATTAATCTGGGGAAAGGTGGTAGGAAACGGAGTTCAGAGACCAGAGCACAACATCTAATGAGTTCTGGAGATGAGAAGCACTTAGACTTTTCTGAAGAACAGACAAAAGGCCAATGTAGTTGTAGAATAGAAGTATTCTGGAGAAAGGCCCCTGTATGCCTGAGGAGTTCTGTCATTGCTCTGAGGCATTTGTGATTCACTGAAAGGTTTTGATTGGGATAATGTGATACAGTGAGATCTGTGTTTTAAGAACATTCTAACAGCTCTTTGGAGTGCAGTGTTCAGGAAGGCAAGAGTGGTTATGAGAAATTTTAGGACAACTGCCCACATACATTGCTGAAGCACAGGTCAAGTGATCAAGGTTCATGCTAATATAGATATGCCCCACTTAGGTATACATAAAGAAATACATATCTTTATATAAATACAGAATGGATATTCTTTCTTAATCTGCTCTGCTGGAGCAAGATAGGCAACCATCTGTGCAATTTGTTGTGTGCCTTATGAGTCGGAATCAACCCAGAGCTGACCTTCTAGCAGGTTTTCAGAGGCAGTAAATCACACAGTCCATAGGATACTGAGAATTCCATGGATTGCTGAAAGAACAAACAGATAGGACTTGGAGAAGGTGCAGTCACAGGGTTCCTTGGAGACAAAGATGATTAAGCTTCATCTCACATACTTTGGACATACTTCAGAAGAGGGTGTTCTTTGGAGAGGGACATCATGCTTGGGAACTTGGAGGGACAGTGAACCTGGTTGAGGGGAAGACCCTTAACCAGGTGAATTGACAACAGTGAATGCAGCAGTGGACTCAAGTGAGTCAGAGATTATGAGAATGGCACAGGACAGGGATCAGATTTGTTGTTCATAGGGTGCCTGTGAATCATATTAAACTTCATGGTACCCGACAACAATAGCAACAACAAACCATGCAGGAGGGTTAAGTATGAGTTGTTAGAACTCCACAGCAGTGAGAAAGGCGGTGAGAGGTAAGGTGAAAGGTGCTATAGCCAATGCCTCGCAAAACGTCCTTTACCTCTGGTGAGGGCTGTGATAGGATTAAGGAGGGCTGTTGTTATGTGTCTGGAGTAATTGACTCATAACTGACCTTCCAGCAGGTTTTCAGAGGCTGTAAATCTCACAGGAGGAGATTATCCATCATTATCTGAAGAGTAGCTGGATTTGAGGCATGTACCTTCGTGGTTGGTAGTATCACTCCTTACCTATGGCCCGAGCTGCATTATACCATTAATCCTTTTTCAACTGTTTTTCAGATTATGAGGGTTATTGCATCATTTCCACGACATCCCTAGAAAGTGAACAAAATTTTGTACTGTTATTTAACTTTTAAAATTAATCTTTACATTGATAGATTAAAAGTCTGCTCCGTAGATTTTATTTTCCCCATTTGTGAAAGTGCCATACTTGTAAAAAAAAAAAAACACACACACAAAGTGTACATCTTAATTAAAAAACAAATCATCTCCCAAGTAAAAGGTGAATGACAAATTACTTGATTTTCATGTGATTATTTTTTCCTCCATTTTGACCTCTCTGAAATTACCATCAAATAATTTTTGACTCGGTGACCCTGTATATCAGAATAGGAAAGATTCCAGGTACTCTTTATTGAAGCAGTTATTTTCCCCAAGAATCAACTGGTAAGTTCAAATTAGCTACTTAACCACTGTGCTGCATTTTAGAAGTAAACACATGGGGGGAAATATATATATATATATATATATATAAAAACACACACAACTGTATTAATTGAGAGAGGTCTTAAAAACCAGGAAGAAAAACACTTCAATTGAAAACCAAGCAAATAACATGATCATGTAGTTTATAGGAAGTTCTGGTGGTATAGTAAGTACATAGAGAGTTGCACTGCAAGGCTAAAAGTCACTGGTTCAAATCGATCAGCAGCTCTGTTGGAGAAAGACAATTTTACCATGAGATTTACAGCCTCTGAACCCCCCTGGAAGGTGAGTAATGACTCTGCTCTGACTTGACAGCAATGAGATGATGAGAGGCTGTTCTAGGAGACAAAGCGTTTTAAAAAAAATGTTTCTTGTTGAAAACATGATGAAGATGTTTGCGTATTCAGGGTAGATTGAAAGGGAAATTGGGATAATCCTTCCACATTATTAGTGTGTCTAGCTCTTTTCCTGACATAACTCTGATCTCTGAAATCCTCATCTCGGACTGCACTTAAAGTTATGTACAAGTGTTTGTTGAGAAAGACATTCATTATAGTAGTATTACTTCTGTATGAACATGTCAGAGTCATGACAAGATACCATAACATACAGGAAACATCCATGAAAATATGTATAAACCTGCAATCATATTCAGTGCTGTGTAAAGAGCTTGTCAGTAAAGGAAAAAGGTTGGGGAGGAGACATTGTGGTTTCCTGCATTTGCTGGGATTAAATTTGTATTTCTCTATTTTTCTTCAAAAAGCAGTTCATATTTTATGCAGAATTGATTTGGGAAAAGCAGGATATGAGTCACTGCATTACTTTTCTGAAGGAGCACTGCTAATATATATGCTACTAATAATCTATAGAGATTGTGAGGACAAGGCAGGATTGAGCTGTTTCCTTCTCTTGTTTATAAGATTGCTATAAAGGAAGTTGACTAGATGGCACCTAATAGTAACAATAGAAATAACTAGTAACCATCATTTAGGTATTTTTATTGCAAGAACTTTTGAAATATCTGCAAGTATTAAAAGATATATTTTTAATTAGCTGTTTTTGCAAAATACTTGGAGTTTAGATAATTACAGTATTATTATATTCTATTCTCTGGCTACTTGATAGGGAGTTGTGCTTGCTGCCAGTCCTAAAGCACATGGTTCGAATTCATCAACTGCTCTACTGGAGAATGATGGGTGGTCTCCTCCTGTGTGATTTATAGCCTCTAAAAACCCACTGGAGTCAGTTCAGACTTGATAGAATATAACAACATTCTCTACTGAGAGGAACAGAGAAGGTGTTAAGTAGCTAGACAAGACTATCAACTATTCCTGAGAGTGTATTCTATGGAAAATGTTTGAGAAAGGTAGATTCTTTCCTTAAAAGTAACAGATGAAAACCAGCCATGCGACTTGTCTGACTGACATGCCAGTTCATTTAAGGTCATCTTAGGTCATGACATGGCCTGAGACACCATCTTAAACACAATTAACTGTGTGCACTAACACTTTCCAAAAAACAAAACAAAACCTCATTGCTGTGGAATCCATTCCAATTCATAGTTATCCTGTCAGACTAAGAAAAACTGGCCGTCTTTCTCCTGAAGAACCAGTGGAGGATTTGGGGGTTAGCACTTAGCCACTGGGCCATCAACACTGTTCTTACACCTTAATTTTAAGCTGGTATTAATTTAAATTAGTTAAAAGTCGATTTAATACTTGTCTTTTTATTGCATTGCTAAATTTCCTATTTTTAAATGAAACCTTTTGTGTTTTCTAGGTGATAAAACAGGAACAAGACCAGAGTAAGTGTACAATTCAACTTTAAAATACTTAAAAGTGGTTTACTTCTTCAATTGCAGACTTTATATTTTCTCACCTAATTTCCATTGCATTAAAAACACCATTTGGAAGTAAGTATCCCATGCACTTCGTACAAGCATCTTTTGTATATTAGCTGTTACACAAGTGAGGAAGCTGAGAGCAGTCAGTAGCGGCAGATCTGAATTGAAATCTAACTCATGATTCCATTTTAGTATGCTAAATTTAACTTGGCTTGTCTTTACTGAATCCTTGTGATTCTCTGAAGCTATTTTGAGGTCCTATTTTCTTATTCCAGCAGGTATGGAAGAACAAATAATAACTTGAACACCTTGTTATGAAAAGCTTTGTAGATGATCTTTAACGAATGCTCTAATATTCTGACTTGAATAAAAATCACAGAATCTTTAATAAGCGTGGAGAAACTTAGTTAAGGTTTTCACCTGATAGGATTTTTTTCTCCACCATTTCATCAGATGGTTTTATTTTATGTATATATAAAATATGTAACCACCTTCCTAGATCTCTATATCAGATGAATTGTTGGAATATTTTTATCAATCAGGAAGTTTATTGTTCTTTGAAATCATCCAGGGTCTCAGTAAATAGGGATGCTTGCTTTATGTTATCATATACTAACACATATTCTAGTAAAAGACAACTAGAAAAAAAGCTTTTATTCTCAGTGATCTTAATATGTTTGTGGCATTTTTCTTAGGGATAGTAAAGCACTGAAGGATGAAAATCTCCCTTCTGTCATCTGCCAGGATGTTGAAAATCTACAGTAAGTGTCAAATACAATTAGAGAAATAGTACTCGAAGGCCTCTTGATTGTGTTGTATGGATGGAAACATTTCCATTCCTCTTGAACACTTTAGCTTGGATTAAAATTTTAATGTTATGGAAAGTGGACAAGAAAGCAGAATATCAGGAATTAAAATACAGTAACTACCATTCTTTTGAAAAGCACATAATCTTTGTTTCTTAAACATTTAATCTCTGACTAATTTATTTTAAATGTGCTTTGTTTTTATTCCTATGTGGAGGCAGAGGTTTCGTTTGCTTGTTTTTAAATAACTCACTTTTTTTTTAAAGGAAATTTGTGAAGGAACAAAAACAGGTCCAAGAAGAGATTAGCAGGATGTCTTCTAAAGCAATGCTTAAAGTACAGGAAGATATTAAAGCTCTAAAACAGCTACTGTCATTGGCTGCCAGTGGGTTACAGAGGAACACGCTCAATATTGACAAGCTGAAAATAGAAACCGCTCAGGTATACTTACTTACACATATGGACCAGAAAGTGTTTTGTTTTCATTTGCTTTTTAATTATAAAATTAAATGTGGACCAAAGAAGTAAAATAGCTCACAAACTTTTAAATTGCTGTAAGACTAGGAATGAGCTGTCTTTATTGAATGGTTACTTTGTACATGACAGTGTCTTAAGCTGCTTGCATAAATTAACCTAGTTTAATTTTTACAGCAGCCCTTTATAAAGTAGGTCCAAGTATTGTTTTCATTTTCTAAGTAAGACAGAAGTAGAGAGCTGTGTTAATGGCTGAAGTGTTTGGAGTCTGATCTTGGCCTTGCAGTTCTAGAACTTAAGGTTGTAGCTAGTTCTGGCTCAGCTGGCTAAATTGCTACATTAGACAAGATGGAAAAAAGAATTAATCGGAAGAAAACAATGTTTTACTTTTTAAAAAATGTATCCGTTCTATAAAATAACAGTGTACTGATGACTTTATTATATCATCAAACAAAAAAAAGAAATCTAAAACCCAGAGTTCTTCTAACTCAGAGCAATCCTCCATCAGGCAGCCTTTAAGTACCAAAAGACTGATGAAATAATAAAAGACTTGGTAGCGTACAAAGGTGGCAAAAGAATGAGGTAGGGATGAAAAAAGTTTCCTTAAGGAAAAATTGTCCATACTTTTTAGAAAATTCTAGTGAAAATAACAAGTTTAATAAAATAGAACATATTTTATTTCTCATAAATAGACATTGTTCCTCTATTCTGTGTGGCAAATTACCAATTTTGGGGGGGAGGGAATGTATTCTGAGTCTCTTATTAATTTAGTTTAATCTCAATCTTAGGTAACTTAAAGCCTTTTCTTCTAAGACAGGATTTTTCTGAGAACTATGAGGAGCTCATTATTTCTGGAGTGAGAAGCTCATTATTTCTGGCAAATACAGTGGCATCTCTTATAGAACTCATTTCTTTTGTAAATAATTTAGGAGTTTTAAGTTGGGTGGTTAATGTTTTCATTAGTTGTGAAATTGATAGAGGGAGGAAACCAAATGGGTTGTTGGTGTGATCTTGCTGAGTTCTGTGGCATCCATTCATTCAGTAGTCATTTTGCCAGAGTCTATTACATGCCACACACATTGACAGGTATTTGGAAGTGAATGACTTGTAGTATATGAGGGAAGTGTTATCTGTCAGCCTGGGATTGTGGTCCAGGTAGAAGTGTTGTTGGGAGCCCAGAGACTCCAGTGGACACTTTTATCATCTGACCAGAATAGGATACCTTAGAATTATGTCTTGAAAATATATATAAGTATTCCCAGGCAAGTAAGAAGGAACACTAATGTGACTGAAGGGCATTTCAAGTGAAAGGAGCTAGGTGAGCAGAGAGTTGGAAGCAGGTATTAGACCTTTTTGAGGGCTTCCAGCAGTTTGGTATAATAGCAGCTATGAGTTTGTATCTGGACTTGGCAAATACGAATGCTTAGTGAAGCCGGTAGGGGGTAGCGTCCTGTGAGGATGTTGAAAAGCCTGAGTTGTTAGGTGCTGTAGAGCCAACTACAACTCATAGCTACCCTGTGAACAACAGATCCAAGCCTTGCTTGGATCTTGCTGTCCTCACCATCTCTGAAATGCTTGAGCCCATTGTTACAGTCCCGGTGTCCGTCTGTCTCATTAAAGATCTTCCTCTCTTTCGCTGACTTTACCTAGATGACTAAAAAAGGATGTGGAAGTAACAGTCATGCCACATTTTGTTTTGTTTTTTGAGAGGCTTGCCTGTGAAAGGTTGCTAGAGGGCAATATAAACTTAAGATACTTTGCTTTTTCTTAATAGGATAAAGGTAGTTGAAAAAAACAATTAAATGATGAATAGGGATTGTAAAAGAGAAAGCAGTCTTAAACAATCACTGAGTAGAAGATAAAAATTGTGTTGAGAAAGAGTTGTTGTTGTGTATTGTCAAGTTAGATCCCACCCATAGCTCACTCTCTGACAGGTTTTTAGAGACAGTTAATGAATTTCCAGTGAATGAATTTCCCTGTAACTCAGTTTGGTTTTTTTTGTCTGTGAGAAGGTAGTTTGTATGGTAAGACCTCCAGTAATACTTGCATTGTTATCTGTTGCTCTCTAGTGACCTGGTGTGTACAGGGTAGGACTGTGCTTCATAGGGTTTTGAGGACTGTGACCTTTTGAAAGCAGACTTCCAGAAGCTTCTGGGTGGGTTCAGCTTTGCAGCCCCCCTTTCATAGGTTTGCATGGTAATCCTACTATACAAATGACTCTTATAGAGCAAGGATATTTTTATCATAAAGGCTATTTGTCTAGTTTCCTATTATTGCTATTATAGAAGTACCACAAGTAGACAGGTTTAGTAAATAGGAATTTATTTTCTCTTAGGTTAAGGCGTGAAGCTTGAATTCAGTGTTCTGGCTCTGCGTAGACTTTCTGTCCCTTATTAGCCCTAAGGGAAGGCCCTTCTCTCTTTTCAGCTCCTCCTTTGTGCTTGCTGGCTTAATCTGCTCTTTCTCCCTACTTGTTGCTCCGACTTTGTTGTCCTGTTTGGGCCCTCGGGTCAAGGTACAGCTTTTTGACTAGAGATTGAAAGATCAAGGAAGTTGGAGTTAATCTCTTTTAAAAGAGTGATTTAGGACACACCATGCATTGATCTGGCTTCATCAATATAATAAGTGTACATCAACGTAGAGTAATTTGCCTATTTGCTAAAAGAATTACAACCACAGGGCTTTTAACACACTTTAGCAGGCACAGTTTAATCTGTAACAGTGCAAAAGTGTAAATTAATTATTTTCTTTGGAAAGAAATACTTTTTATAAAGGACAGTTATCCATAATAGGATAGAATATGTGATATATGATACGGTCTCTCAGCATGAATTTTCATAAATGACATTATTTGATATTTCTGTCCATTTATATACAATGGGTATTTTAACCAAGCTCTTAACTTTGAAAAACTCTTTTCTTAGGAGTTAAAAAATGCTGAAATAGCTTTAAGGACCCAGAAAACACCACCTGGACTTCAACATGAAAACACAGCTCCTGCAGAGTAAGTTACTGGTTTTTAAAAACAAATATTCTCACTTGAAAAAAGTAGAACAATAATATGCAAGCCAAGAATTTTGAGTTGTTTTCCTGTGTGGCAAGCTTGACTTAGTAATCTAGTAAGTGCTTTACATAGATTTTCAAATTGAATACTTGAAACACTCCTAAAAAGTAGTTTGTTGAAGGGTAAATAAAGGCTAAGAAATCTAATTTTTCCACCATTAATACAGGTTACACTTGATTTAAAATACTATTGACAAGGGTAGCCTATTCCACTAGATGAAATTTTTATAAGAAGGAGTACATAAAGTCACTGTACAAGAAAAAATTGGCTGACATTGAAGAAATTAGTGAAACAACATAGCCAAGAAGCAGTGGTGATGAAGGAGGAAGTTCAGGCTGCTCTGAAGGAACAGGCCAAAAGCAAACCTCAGGAATTGATGGCATGCCAATTGACATAATATTGGAACAATAGATGCTACCCTGGACATTCTCATAAGGCTGTAACAAGAAATCTGGAGGACAGCTACCTAGCCAACTGACTGGAAGAGATCCATATTATTCCCATTCCAAAAAAAAGTGATCGGAATATGGAAATTATCGAACAGTATTACAGCTATCACACATTATTGCCAATGTGTCTGATGGATCTTGGCTGAAAGCAGAGAGTACTAGAGGAAAGTCTTTTTGTGTTTCATTTATTATGTGAAAGCATTTGACCGTGTGGATCGTAACAAATTGGGGCTACCTGTGGGAAGAATGGGAATGACAGAACACCTGATTGTAATTGTGGAAAACCTATACTTGGACCAGGAAGCAGTCATCAGAATAGAGCAATGCAGAACAGATCAATCAAGATTGAAGAAAGATTCATCAACAACCTGTATTATGCAGGTGATGCAACCTTGCTTGCTGAAACTAAGGAGAGCCTGAGGTGTTTGCTGCAGAAGGTCTATAAGACTACAGTCTTCAATATGGATTGAAGCTCAACATCAAGAAAACAAAGATTCTCACTACTGGGCTATTGGCACCATCATGATAGACGGAGAAGCGATTGAGATTGTTAACAATTTCAGCTTGATTGGTTCCACAATCAACACTCTTGGTTGGTACCAGCAGTCAGGAAATTGAAAGACTAATTGCACTGGGAAAATCTGGTGTCAGGGACCTCTCCAGAATACTGAAGAGCAAAGATGTCAGTCTGGAGACTAAGATACACCTGTTTCAGGCCATGGTCTTCATAATTATTTGCTATGCATCAGAGAGCTGGACAATGATTAAAAATGATAGAAGAATTGATGCCTTTGAATTGTGGTGCTGGAGAAGAGTATTGAACCATGGACTGCCAAGAAAACATGGGAGCAGATGAAACCAACCTCCTTCTTAGAGGCAGTGATTTTGAAGCTTTGTCTCACATACTTTGGGTGTGTTTCCAGGAGGGTCTTGGAGAAGGAAATCATGCTTAGAAGGGTGGAGGAACAGAGGAGGAAAGGAAGACCTTGGATGAGAATAGATAATGACTCACTGATTATGGGGCTAAGTGAGTCAGAGACAATGAGATTGGCTCAGGATAGGGCAGGGTTCAGAGCTATCCTACATAGGGTCACTGTACAACGCAAGAAATTGTCTTTTTACTTTAAATTATTCTTTTAAATTACTAATCTTGTGAGAGTCCTATTTTTAAGCAAGACACTGCGTATTTTTTATTGTTACTATTTTTAAAAGATAATGCATACTGAAAGGGAAAAACCAGAAAATAAAAGAGAATAATACACATACATTCTTACCACTCAGGTTCCCATATCTATTATATTTTATATTTATGTTAACTGTGTGAAAAATATGTCTCATTTTCTTCATGCAGTGCATATCATCTCTTTTTTTTAAATCCTTGTGTTTTGGTTGAGATGATAATAGCTGATACTTGTCAGGTGCTTCTGTATGCCAGATGATATGCGTGCCACTTCACATGTTTTCACTCACATTTCTCACAAAACTTGTGTGGCTGTTACTATTTGGGAGTTCCAGCCATAAAGAGATGAATTGAACTTGTGAGTGAATGGGAGAAGCCATTTTTCTTTCACTTCTTATTATGACATGATTTCCTATTTACAGAGACATTTCAGAAATTGAACAAAGTGTAAGGTCGCCGAGGAAGGACAGAACCCAGTTCAGGCCAAGAAAGACAGTTTATTGAGGAGAAACTGTCGGGCTGACTCCAAAGCAGAGATCAGCTGCTGCTTAAAGTTAGAGTGAAGTTTTATATTGTCTTATAAGGAAATTGGAGCATTAGGATGTTCGCAGCTGCTTGGTACCAGATAAGAGAGCAGGTTGGGAGTTGTGGATAGTTATTCCTGGGAAAGGGAGGTGGAATTGTTTTGCAGCTTAAACAGAGTTGCAGCTGCTGCTTTGAATCATAGCTGTGGCTCTTGTGGAGAAAGGGAGGGTGAGCAGCTCCATGGCCCTGACACATAGGAACGATTTCAAAGCCCTCTTACGCAGATGTCATGTGTGCTGTCTTTTTTGCTGTGTTGTTTTCTTTCCCCTCTGTATTTCTATGTGTGTATGCACACACATTTAGATTTCTTTTCTTTGTGCTTTTTAACAAGTTGCCTGAGATATGTATGTGCTGTCTTTCCTGTTGGTAGAAGCACTGTGACTTACTGTAATTTTCACTTCCTGGTGGACTTGCTCAGCTGGCGTCCCCTGTCTTACTCCTCTGTGTGCTCTCAGAACACATTTTGAAATGGATTGAGTGATACCATTTTCCACTGACAAGGCTTCCACAGTTTTCCTTTTGTTGTAGAATGCTGTTCAGCCTCCATTGCATGCTACTTTAGATCCTTTTTTCCCCTCCTGCTAAATATTCATCCATTTAAGTACTATGAACTTAAATTAACATTGATAAAATTATTAACTATAGGCCTTATTTGGATGTTAGCGAGTTTGCTGCTAACGGCTTTTCTTTGTTCCAGAATCCTAACTGGCTTTGTATTTTGTTGTAACTCCTCTTCAGTCTCCTCCCATAATGACTTTAATAACTTTGTAAGACATAAAGTTTTTATTTCAGTAATATTATCTGTGCCACTTTAAGATGTGTTAAGTCATCAGACTCATCAGAGGGCCAATTACTGATTTCTTTGGCATTTAGAATATAGAGGAAATACCATTTTGAGAAATGTGATCTGATTTTTAAAATGTTTTTGTATAGCTACTTCAGAATTTTGGTTCAGCAGTTTGAAGTCCAACTTCAGCAATACAGACAGCAGATTGAAGAACTAGAAAACCATCTTGCCACTCAAGCAAATAATTCACATATAACCCCTCAAGGTAACATGCTTCCATGGTAATTTTTGTTTATATATATATTGTTGTTATGTGCTATTGAGTTGGAACCCACTCATTGCCAACCCTCGAGTGGGTTTTCAGAGGCTGTAAATTACATGTAGGAGATTTTCCATCTTTCTTCTGAGTAGCAGCTGGTGAATTTGAACCACCTGCCCTTGAGTTGTAATCTGTAGGTATCTCACCTAAAGGTGTTGCTTCTCTGGCTGTTTGAATCCACCAGTGGCTTCGTGGGAAAAGGATGGTCAATCTCTCCCGGTACAATTTACAGCCTTTGAAAACCTGCGGGAATGACAGTGAGAGAAGTAGCTGTCTATCGTTTGTGATGGTAATGAGAATTTGAGAGGAATAGATATATATTTTTATACACACACACACACACACACACACACACACACACACACATCTTTTTACTTTGGTAGAAGAGAAGTTAAATTATAATTATGGAGACGAAGATGTTCCAGTACCTTCTTTGTTTTAAGCTGCCCTAAAATTTTTTTCTTAATGGATCTTGGCTAGATCTTAATTTTCATTAACTGTTAAATGCTTTATTATGAACTGACTGGGCTAACCAGGGCTGCTGGCCCCCTCCCCTTCCCCAAATTATTGAGAGAGATGTCCCTTTCTTGGGCAATTAGTCTCCCCTTTTCCCTGTCATTATTCGAGTTATTTGTTCTCCTCTTGTATATTCACAGTACTGAAAATGGAACTTAGAAATACAGTATATTGTGCCATACATATATTTGTGTGATTTTGTAATTTTCTTTTATAGATTTGTCAATGGCTATGCAGAAAATTTATCAAACATTTGTAGCTTTAGCTGCCCAACTTCAATCTATTCATGAAAATGTAAAGGTAAGTGTTCCTTGCCAGTCCATCTCTCTGGATCTCCCCAAAGGAAGTATTGCTTCTTTTGGGATACACACATGTCTGCACTTATTCCAGAAATAGCTAAGATCATATGTAAGGGGGGGGAATCCAACAAAAATTTACTTTATATGTGTACACAGACACAGCTATTGATAGTATATATGCTTTTGAAGAAAGATCAAAGTGTTATTTTAGCTGTGTGGTGTGTTATTTTAACATTTACAGCAGTCTGTGTGAATAACTTCTCATGATAAGCATATGTTTCTTCAACATCACTTTCATTGCTTCCCTAAAATTTCACTGTACATGTGTGTCAAGTTTTGTATGACCCACGTTCTATTGTTGAACATTTGTTTCTGTACCTTTGCCAGTATAAATAGTGCTGCAGAAACTGTCCTAGCAAGAAAATTGTTTTGCCTGCCCCACTTTTATGTTTTTAAAAGATCTATTTTCCACTGCATAAAAAAACTTACTTTCAGTGTTTTCCTGTCTAAATACATGAAACTGTGTTTACTAAATTATGTTAATAGAGTAATATGCCACTGAACATTTTGACATGCATGTAATAATGCTGATTTTTTTTCGGTTTTGTTTTTTAAAAAGTGTAACAAAGATGATTCTACATTTTCCCTGTGAAGTCCGCTGTGCAAATGTTGCCCCCTCCTCCCTTTAGTCTTCACCGTATTACCTTGGGGGGGGTAAATTGTTTCTGTGGGTTAAGGCCAACCTAGAAGCAGCTCCTAAGAAAGGCCTTGTAATCTAATTCTGAGAAGCCAGCCATTGTCACCTCCTCCTGTGATGTCTGTAGGGTCACCATGAGTCAGAATAGTCAGCAGCTGCATTTGATTTTAAAATTTTCATTAGGGAAGTTTTCAGATAAATACGAAAGTAGACCACTATTATGAGTACCTCCGTACTTATTTCAGCCTTCTCAAGATCTACTGATCTCTTATTCTCCACACAGAGATGCTGTTTTTCTGTAGTATTTTAGAGCAAATCTCAGATACATCAGATTTTGAGTGCCTTTTTGCTGATATTTTTCCTTTTCTGCTTCCACTGTGGTAGAAACTATACCTTTTTCTGATATGGCCATATTAGAAACATGATTCAGGGATTTTTCCAAAGGACCCCCAGGTCGTGAACATGAAATTTCATGAACATGAAATTTGACCCATGAGCAGCTGAACATTCATGTTTAGTGTGCAGCTGTCAATCATAGAGTGACTGATATCTTAACAAACTTTTTATATTCTTTTTTCTGTTTGTTTTGCTAGGTAGTCTTTCGAAAGAGGCTTCAGCTGCTTTACCCAGGCAGGCCTCAGTGCCATTAACAAATGTGGAAGTTTAGTGATAAATTGTTTCAATCATGATGGCAGAGCCTTTGTCTTAGATTTTTCAGATCACTCTGGTGGGTCATTTCCCCCACTATCTCGAATAGAACAAAAATTCATGGGGGCACCCATGCCAAACACTATACAGAGATATACGTGTGTCATTTCACTGAAAAAGGGAAGATGGAGTTGAGGAGGATCAGTTCTAACTAAGTTTCTTTTTTTCTGTTCCATTATGTCTTATCTTTACCCCACTTTTCAGTTCCCCATAGGCCCAATTCAGTACACAGATAAGTCTAGAGCAGAAATATCAAGCAGCAACATTTTTATGCAAAGAGCTTGATGACTTTTAAATTCTATAAATAACAGATTATGAAGTGCTGTACTGCCCTGTCTTCACCAGAGCTTATTATTAGTTTCTACTAAAAGCAAGTAGGAAATGAGAAAATTTGACATCTCTTCAAAAAGTGGTATAAAGTTTATCTAAATTAAGTGAAACCTTTAATTGAAGTGTTTGGTAATTTTAATGTGCAATACATTCATCCCTGTGAATGACCTTAATCAAGGCAATATTTTAGTTTCGTAAACACACTCCCTTCTCTATTTCCTTTCCTTTTCCTTTCTTTTTTGTTACTACAAGTTCAACAGGATTTATTCTTATTATAAAATACTCTTGCAAAACGACAAACTAGCAGCCTTTTTAATACTCTTTGTTAAGGTAACATCAACCTTTCCACAAAATTGTATTTGATAGTAATTATATATTTAATGCTGGCTTTTTAAAAAAATTCTTTAAAAAGACTTCTGAATCTAAAATTACCAAAAGTTGGCCATCTGAAGCAAATTCTTCAGGACAAAACTTGGACTAAAAATGCTCTTTTTAAATACTGCTCTGCCTACCTGAAAGCATAGCTAAGTTAGCTAACTTGTTTAAAACAGGGCCTGATGAAGCCAGAGTGTTACGGGTAGTGTAGAGGTGTGTGACAAGAATGGGGAAGAAAATTCTCCACGGAGTGATAGCCCTCCAGCTCTGCTTCCCATAACAGTACATGTGCTAGCCTGAGAAAGTGCAGTTAGTGGGGGAATGTATCATAATACCAGCAGTGTCTGTCCTTCACATTATATCAGTTACCACAGACCTTCATAAGCCTTTTCCGCCCACATTCCTCTAGGTGCTCAAAGAACAGTACCTTGGCTACCGAAAAATGTTCTTGGGTGATGCTGTAGATGTGTTTGAAGCCAGGCGCGCGGAAGCCAAGAAGTGGCAGAACACGCCCAGAGTGACCACAGGGCCCACCCCCTTCAGCAACATGCCAAATGCAGCAGCCGTTGCCATGGCTGCCACACTTACACAGCAGCAGCAGCCTGCTCCAGGTCTGAACGCATTCAAGTTATAGCTTCTTAATGTGAAAATGCAGAGCCTTTGTGTGCGTTTTTATAAACAAGTCTTCCTTTTGTGTTAGCACTGAAGAAATTTCTATAATAGCTGTTCCGATACAATCTAGAAATTGTGATGAACACAATTATAAACATATACCTTATAGAAAATGCAGGGTAGTCTTAGCAATAACTTCACATCAATGAAATAATGACTATTGTTAATTTACTTAGTAGAATTTGCTGTATTGCTATATATACCCTCTAGGACATGTTGTTTCACTACAGAATTACCTTGAGAAACAACATTAGAGTCTAAAACTGTGATTGTATCATTTATTGCTTTAAAGCCAGAGACTATCCAGCCATACGTTACTACATTTTTCATATGTAATACTGAAAGATGGTGCAATCTTGTTTTCCCCATTCTTGTAAAGTGCCCGCATTCAGGATGTAGGACGTTTTCAGTGCTGACTGAAGATGTGATGAAGATTAGTGAGTTTTGGGACACATGTCAACCAGGAGCAGAGCCCAGGCCCTGAAAACAGTACGAGCTAGAATTATTTGTAACCTTTTCACAATGAGAGCAGTAGCCAGGGTGGGGGAAAGCTATTTCGATGTTCTCGATGCCGTTAAAAAGATAGATAGGATCAGGAGGCTTGAGCAGATGGAGTCGTGGTGAGATACTGGACATCAGAAGACTTCCTTCCATACTTGGCTTACTTCCACGTCTCAGTAGAGAAATGCTTTGTGGTCCAGTCCTGGGCTGTTTTCCTTCCTGGTCTAAGTGTGTGATGTTCTACGACCGTCCCTCATCTGTTTTCCTGTCCTACAGCTCTTTTTGTCTGTTTTGAAGTCTGTCATAAACAAATATAATCGTAATAGATACTGCTTCTTTTATCCCCAGTCTTTTACGGATTTTGAGTAATGCTTATACATTGTTATATATGGCATGTGTCTTTCTGACATATTGTCCAAAAAGCTTACATAATGCAGTACTAAAAAATATCCCAGCCAACTCTCCTTGTAGGCAAATTACATTCAGGCTGCGTCTCTGATGAAGGTATTTACCAATTTCCACTTTCAGCAATTAAAAAAAACCCCTCTCTGCCCTTTTGTAGTTAAAATATAGACATATTTTGAGCAAAATGTTGATGTGGCCAATATGTGCTGTATCTGTGTACCCTGCTCAGGACCCACATGGTGGCAATCTACTGCATCGAGGGTCACTCCAGCTGGTGTAGACAGTTGCATGATCAAGAGGAAAAATAATTATGGGATTGATTCCTCTGTGGGGGGTGGTGGTAGTTGTTGTGTGCCAGTTTGTCAGGACCAACCATAGCTGACCCTCCAGTGAGTTTTCAGAGGCAGTAAATCAAATCACACAAGAAGAGATTGTCCAGTCTTCTCCCACAAAGCAGCTGGTGAGTCTGAATCATGTGCCTTTGGGATTGCAGCTCAGCTTCTTGCCATTTAGCCACCAGAGCTCCCTAATCTTGGTGGATTGGTCTCATCATTAATGACCACCTCAAAGAGGCTTTAACCCGTTAATCAAACCAACCTTAGGATGAATTTACATTTTGGAGTCAGTGTGGCAGCCACTGATGTAAATCAGAATAGTGTAGTTTAGTTGAATATTCTTAAAACACAATGGAATTCTTTGCTAAGCAGTGAAACGTTTGAAAAGCCAGTTATCTAAAATGTTTTAAACTTAGGAGGTCTTGTTTTGAAAGACTCCTCTAAGTTCTCATTCACACACTTTGGGCTCATGGGCATGTGCAACTTTCTGTTCATTTCGTGAACAAGAGTGTCTGCTTCTTGTTGGGCTCAAGGGGATACCAAGATAAGCAAAGTGAACTTGGTGTGTGTCTTCCCTTCCTGGGACTGCTATATACCACACATGGGTGGTTTTTAAAACCAGAAGTTCATTTTCTACCGCTTAGGAACCGAGAAGCTCAAATCTGGTGTCTGCAGGGCCCTGGCAAGCATTGTGTATAAATCATTTTGCTGACCAAGAGTCCATAGTTCATACCTACTAGCCATTCCTTGGAAGAAGGCTGAAGCAGTCTACCTGTTTAAGACTTGGAGTCTTAGAACCTGATGTGCAGTTCTCCTCTGCACACTTCAGGCTGCTTGGAAGTAGAATTGACTTAGTGGTAGTGAGTTAGTTGGTGGTTGTTTTCTAGGGGTGGGGTCTGGGTTGATTTCCCTCGAGGGGACATTGAAAGAAGAACTGTTTCATGCCTCTGTCCTGGCTTCCAGTGACTGCCACCATCCTTGGCATCCTGTGTTTCATCTAGATGTACCTCTCATCGTGGTGTCTTTCTTCTTGTTACTCTGCTGTCTGTCCTTCCCTTTAGGAGCCACCACTCAGAAGAGTTTAAGATTAGGATGGACCTTGCTTAAGTGTGACCTCATTGAATGGAAAGGATATCAAAAGAAAGACCCTATCTTATTCCACACAGTGAAATAGGTGCCTTCACAAGGGATTTGGACTTGGGCCTCTCTCTTGCAGGGCCTCTGTTCATTTCTTATCACCCTTATGGCTGGTGGAAAATGCTAGCTAGGCTTAAAGTAATTGCTGTGGGGAGCCTTCCGCTTAGGAGCTTGGATTCTGTCTGTGCTGCTCCAGGCTTTGGGGATAGTGGCTACTTCTAATACTCTTCAGTTTGGAAGTCCAAATAAAGGGTTTTTTAATTGGAAGGCAAGAGTTGTAATCCAGAAAACTAAATAGTAGTCTTACAGGGTTTCCACTTTGAGCCGTCTGGACTTTTAGAACTAAGAGACTAAACAATTGTGATAACAGTTTTATATTATGTCTTGTCTTTCCCTTTTGTCTGTGAGAGTCATAAAATGCAGCATGCCTTTGACATCATGTTGGTCTGGAGCCCTACCTGTCTGTGTGGTCTGTTCCTCAATCAAAAGTTTAGTCACGTCACCACCATTGTGAAATTGATGTACTCTGTTAGATGCACACACAATAATTTTATAAGTTCAGCCCTTTTAGGAATGTCCCTATATATTTGTATTTTTTCCCAGTTATTTCTGAAGTTCTGTGACATTTATGGAATCTTTGTGTTAAGGGCCAGTAACAAATTTTTAATTCCCTGTGCAGGCTGGAGCCAGGTTTCGTTCTGTTGTGCATTGGGTCGTTATGATTCAGAACAGAGCCAACAAACCTAAGAACATAGATGAAGCTGAGTGGAGCCTCTGCACTATTCTGTGTGTCCCTGTTGATTTGTGTAAGATTTGCATGTTCACAGGGCTTTTGTCTTAATTGAACATTGATTCTTTGCATCAGTAAATACAGGCACAGAGCAAGTAGTTGTTTAAACTGCTGGATAGTTAATATACAATCTCTTAGAGGTGGAAGAATGAATTCAAATAACTAGTTTATTAATTCTTTGTTTATGGGGGGGAAAAGTATAAAGGATGTAGGCATGTTTAATTTGGCTGCTGATTCTGAATGCTGAAGAGAATGGATGGAAAGCTTACAGCTCTCTGTGTATGAAGTAGGCATGAGCCCATGGCTACATTTCATTTCATGATGGGAGACCTGGATGGCACTTACTCACAAGGACTTCCCAGACCTCTTAAAAAACTCACTGAGACAGTTTTAGTAAGTGTCTCAGTATAATTTTAACTTAGACTAGACATTTTTTTTTTAAATGTAATATTTTGCATTTGAGTTTTGCTGTTGTGTTTTGACTTTAAGAAATTCTTGGTGTTTATATAAGACTTTTCTTGTGTGACTTAGCTGCTGTATTTAAGGAGCACTGATGTTTTGTTGGGAATTCCTGCTTTTTAGTTTTTAGCATAGTTTTGGAAATTTAAGGTGTAGTGTCAAATAGGAAATTTTTGAGTATCTCATCGCAGTTTCTTGTGGCTTTGTGATTTTTGTTGTATTTAATAACCAAAGGAACATTCCCCACTAAATCAGTAAGAGTAATAAAACTTTTCAAATGGGGGAAAACATTTTGTGTTTTTTTAAGTATAATCATTGTTGCAAAATATGACTTAGGAATAACCATGCTATTGACATTAGGTGTTTTGCGTGATCGTGGACAATTTTCCAGACTTTTTAGCACTTTAGTCCTTTTGCTGTAAATGCAGTTTTACTTTTAAGAAAGTAGAATTTATCCTGGAAAATACGAGTTTCAGTGCTAAGCTTGACCTTGTTGTATGTGAATATCCTATATGGTAACTTTTGTAAAATGTTACTCTACATAAAGATTTCACTTTGGGCAATCATTGGGATATATTACTACTAACTTGCTTTTATTTATGGAACTAAGAGCCTCTCATTGATTCAGATTTTGAAGCAGACTTACTGAATTGTTTACGTACCTTTTGCCTGAAGGATTTAGATTCTGCTTTCTAATAGTGAGACTAATTTATATGGTGGCCAGAGTGTATATATACTTTGGCATGGGAGATACTGATCATGAGTTTTTACTACTAAAAAATGTTATACATTTGCTTACTAGTTTTATAAATGATGTTACCTTCTGAATTTGTGTGAAGGTACAAAATTCAAAATACCATGTACGTGTTGTGCAATGGAAAGTCTTGTCACCATTACATTAGATTTATTGATGATCTATTCTGAGTGTTGAGGAGTAGAGAAAGTGTATTCTAGTGCTCTTCAGAACAGACTCCACACAGAATAAAAAACCTGTGGTTTATGGATTGTGGGGACTCGGAGCACTGAGGGCTGGGTGTACGTTATTCTAGGGTCTTCCACCAGCAGTGCCTCCTGTCAGTCAGCATGTGACACTGAAGTCTCAATGTGAAGAAATTGGACATGTGTTTTCTACATCTATTTTTGTTAGAAACAGGAAAGTAATATGCTTAATTTCTTTTTCCTGTAGTAATATTTTACAGAAGAGCTGCTAGGCAGCTATTTTATTCTCAAAACTAGTCTCAAACTGGTTATAAAAAACTTAAAACCTTTTTTTTAATTTATTTTTTTAAAAGATAACTTTGGCTGCTATTAATTATTCTTCATTTTCTGGGAAGAAGCTGTTAGAAATGTGCAGTTTCTGTCCCATGTAACAAAATGTAGTTCCTTGGTTTTGTTTTGTTTTATTTTGAATGCTTTATAATTTTACACTACTTTTTGAATGGACAAACCTCATTCTTCCTTGGACAACTGGAAGGCTTTGATTTCTTTGGAAAGTTTAAATTTTTATCTGATCATATAACTTTGGCAGGCCCCTCAGCTTGGAAATGCACTGATCACTGTGCTGGGAAAAGATAAGACTAAAGATTGTACTCTGAAATTTATTGAATAATTTTCATAAATTATTTATCAGATGAGAGATTTTTAGATTTTGTATTCTGCTTAGTTTAAAAAAAAAACTTAAAAAGAGAGGCTAGTAAGTTTGATGTTTATTCTTGCCAAACAAACTCAGACACAATCTTTAACAAATGGGGAAAAGGGTGACTAATTGTTCTGCATCTGAGTACATTTTCCAAAGTGTTGGAAGCTGAATTGAAATCTTGAATGTATTGACTCTGTCCAGGTGCACCTCGGTGCCTTGTGAATGTTCATTCCTCTCACTGAACCAGGTGAAAAGTGCTGTCATGTAGTCGAGCTGAAATGACAACTCAGTGATCACTTTCTGTGAATAAGTTTGAATTGTCATGTTACCATGTAATTGACTTGCTTTAAAATGAACAATAAATTTAATAAACTAAAACATTGTCTTGTTTTTTTATCTATTTATTGTATATCTCATTTATATTTCATATGAGAAATCATGCCTTTTTTTTTTTTTGGTACAAATGCTTCTAAAGTAACATGATGGTTTTCCCATGTTAGCCTCAGGCTCTTTCTGAGCTCAGACTTGAAGCTAACCCTGAAGAGCTTGTTCTTTAAAACGTAAAAAGCTTGACTAACCCCCCCCCCCCCAGTTCTATCAGAAAGCAAGCAAGCAGAATGAAAACAATCCTAGAAGTAAATAAGAAAAAAAAACCCATCATTTGTAATACATTAAAGATTTCAAATGATTTATAGGTTTAACTAACAGGCATATTTCAGTACCCTGAGGTGATTTTGTTTCATGCTGAACAGGTTCATTTAAAAATTAGTTGGCTTTTTTAGATAAGTTAGTTGGTTGGGACAGTAAGTTAGGCATGGACGGCATCCTAAAAACCAAATTTTAACAAGTAGAATTTGTTAAAAACAGCTAATGTTAATTTAAAAATTAATTTCATAAAAAACCTTGAATATTGAAAGAGTAAGGCCAATTTGTTTTTTCCCCCACCCCCATTTTTTTTTTTTTTTTTTTTTGTACCAGGCCCACAGCCATCTCTGGGAGTTAGTTTTGGAACGCCTTTCGGTTCAGGTATTGGCACTGGCTTGCAACCAAGTGGCTTAGGTTCTTCAAACCTTGGAGGTACACTTTCTTTCACTTTTCTAATATTCAGTGAACTATTTATACATTTGCATTGGTACTAGTCTGTCAAACAAATATCTAAGATAATCTGATGCTATCTGGAATTTAAAAGTTCCATCTGGCAAAATGGATTCTCCAAATGTAGTACCTTTTTAGTATTAGATTTAGAGCTTAAAGAATCATTTCCTCTTGTGTGATAGTCAGTGTTAAATAATACTAAAATTAAGTGGTAGGGACATTGGTATTTTAAAAGCAATAAGCTAAAATACAAACTTGATGCACTTTTCCAATGCTTATTTTAATGAAATTGAAATGAACCAATTTAATATTTCTGAAAGTACATTCTTCTAATCATAATTTTTATTTCTGAATATGACCACTTTACTGGGAAATAACTTTATTACCAACTTCTTTATTTGCCCAAGTACTTTTGGCGTGCTTGCCTATATGCATACTTTTCATGCATATATTTACATGATGGATTAAGCTTATTTTAATAATTTCTTAATTTAACTATTGATAAGGAAGGTAAGTCCTCAACAGAACCATGCTAAATACAAATACACTCATCATTCTTAAATAGAAACTATTGAAAGTTGGTGGTGATATTTTAACTAATGCCTTGTAATATATTAAATAACATTCGTTTCGCCTTAAAAATATCTTTGTAAGAAGGAAAGCATGTGAACTGTGTGACTGCCTGAGATAGGAGAACCCTACTCAGAACTGCAGGAATCGTGGAAAGCAGCATAGTTTCTGTGTTCCATGTGCCATCATATTTCTTAAAATTACAGGCAGGACTCTAAACTTGTTATTTTAGGTAAACTAGAGCAGAACACTCTGTTTATAGAGCATCTGGCTTTTAATAGAGTGGAAGCAAGCATTCGGGTACTGAGCAGAAGCTGTTCCCAAGTGTGCCTGGAAAAAGGATTTCTTTCTGAACAATGTGAAAGGAGTGTTGCTAAGAAGAAAACCACTCTGTCCCTTCCCACCTTTCTCACTGTAGGTCATATGGTGGGAATATCCTGTTATTGAGCTGATTGAAAATCACTTTTGTATAAATTTTTTGTATTAATTAAAAGTACTTTGGAAAAAAGCAGAGCAAAATTAACCTCATAGTAATCAGTGTTTAAAGTGTTGTGCATGTCATTCTTATATATGAATTTAATCTTATCTCTTCCCCCTCCCCCCGCCCTAAATGAAATACCCTTTAGTAGTTCTATTTATGCCTGTTGGGCTAAAATAATATGTTAACATCACAACAGTTTTCTGGCCAGTTTGAGAGAAGTAATAGTATGTTCTTGGTTTTGTTTGACCTTGCTCTTTAAAATTGCTAATGGGTCATAAACTTAGTCTAAATAGCTATAAAGGTGATAATGCCAGGATAATTCTGTTTCTTCTAAAAGTCTTAGGTGGTACAGTGCAGAGCTGACTTCTTTAATAAGGTCATGTTTTTCGAGACTGTATTTTTAGGCCTTTGCTGATTGTAGGCTTTGCTTGTCCGCATCCATTGACCTGTGTTTTACGTTCCCTTGTATATTTCTCTATTGCCCTTCCACTAGGATTTGGAGCTAGCTCTGGTTTTGGAAGCAGCACCACAGGGGCCTCCACATTTGGATTTGGAACAACAAATAAACCCTCAGGAAGTCTTAGTGCAGGTTTGTGTGTTTCTGCCTCGATTCCAGGCACATGTAAAAGTGCGCACATTACTTAATTTAAAAGTACAATTTCTGTCCTTTCCCTTTCACCCCCCTGCCTTGACTCCGCTAAAGCCACGGTTGTGTTTTGATGCCGTCCTAAGGCCTGTAAATCTGGCTCATAAAGCTTTCCCTCTCATAAATGAAAAGCTAGGTGTGTAAAATATTTCCAAAACTTTTCCTAAATAATTATATCCTCTGTCATGCGGGAGAAGGATGGGCAGTCTCCTCCTGCGCAGTTTCCTGCCTCTGGAAACCCGCTGGGAGGGTCAGCTTTGGCTTGGTTCTGACTATGGTACGTAGCAACAACAAATAATAATCAACCAGGTAGAGATTGGTTGGAACCTCAGTGATTAACTTAATGGTTAAACTAATTTTCCTGTCCTTGAAAAAAAAGAAAACCTTCAATTGAGATGGTGAGAGTATAAACGTAGGAAGAGAATGACTTGAGTTCCCAAGAGGTATTCTTTAGTTAAAATCTTCCTGGTTCTAAAAATACCCGTGTTCAGATGGTGATGAATGAATTCTTTGTTCATTTTTAAAATAGAGTCGTCTTTTTGGAAAATTCCAAATGATACCTGTTTTTGTGTTTACTCTGTAATAGTCTTGTTTTAATATATCACACATAGGGGTGAATAGTTCATCTAATAAATAACATAATGCTCACAGAACTGGATTATACTTAGGGAATTTTAAAGAAATCTACCAATGTTAAGTTGTTGAAATCAGTGGTTCCAGCTGAGTAAAATAATAACTCAGTGATATCTGCATTCTAATCTAGCAAGATCTAAAGAAGAGATCAGTTAACTGTTAACAGTAATAACACTGTTTTATTGCATTATGTAAAGGCCTTTCTCAAATCAAAACATTTAAATACTACTTTTTAATGGATTCCTTGTCCTGAAAAATGGTGAGTTCAAGGGCTTTTTGACTCAAATTTGTTGGGGGAGGCGTTCAGTGTGACAGTGTCCTGTACATATTGAGAACATGTCTATGGTGGAGCTGAGGAAGTAGGGGCCTTTGATTTCTGTAACTAAGAAGGGAGTTTCTGACAATTTCATCTTTTCTGTCACCTTCAGCTGTTGGTGGTAATGTTTCTCTTTTGGCATGTGTCACTAATCTGTTACCCTTCAAGGTGCCATTTAGGATTGTTAGCCAGATTATTTCCCTGGAACATTTCACACAGAATTGGGCACTCTGAGGCAGTTAGCGGTTCTTACAGATTATACCTTCGTTCAGATAAAAATTGACGACACTTCCCCAGTTTGTATGTATGTTTCTGTGATTTAACATCTGACATCAATATTTTCTTCCCCAAACGTAAGGCTTCGGCAGCTCCAGCACGTCTGGGTTTAACTTCAGCAATCCTGGCATCACGGCATCTGCTGGCTTGACCTTTGGGGTGTCCAATCCTGCCTCTGCAGGCTTTGCCACGGGAGGACAACTCCTGCAGCTGAAGAAACCGCCAGCTGGAAACAAAAGAGGAAAAAGATAAACACGGGCTGAGGTGTTCAGAGAATCTATAGCAGCATCCTTCCTTCTGAGTCTATTTTTCTAAAATGGATGCAGTGCTTAAGTTGCATCCTAGGAGATTTATAAAGTTTTTATCTTTTTCCCTATTCTGGAATTCAGACTTTGTTCATATGGCCAGCTTCTGTCCCACTCCCACCCCCCGTGAATTGAAAATCCACTTGTGTATTTTTTGTTACTTTGATTTGTAAGAAATGTTTGAATTGCATAATCGTTGATTGACTAGTAAAGCCTGCTGTTGAACTTGGTGTTAGTAGCATCGTTTCTTGGTAAGGTTTACACTGTGTTAATATATGCCATTGATTTTGTATACAGATGTTGTAAACTCTAGGATCTCTGCTAGAATCAGTTTGTTCCCTGGCAGAAGACTTTGGAACTACACTGCAGGGCATCTTGTGAATATGTATGTAAATTATACAGACTACTACACACAATTGTGTGCATATAAAACATATTTACAGACCTCCAACTCTTGCCTCAGACTGTTCCCCTTTTCTAAGGGTATTCAACTTCTTACCCTTTAAGCTTCAAATCCTCAAGTGCTTGGAGAATGATGAGTTAGGATTACCAGATCCCTGCCATTGTTGGCATGAAGACTCATTGAAATAGCTACAGGACTTGCCTTCATTGAGTCTAATTAGCATTAGTAGATCTTCTTAACCTTTCAAGTACAATTTTCACATGGAACGTGAACATGGACTTTTCCATTTTTGTTTCCACTTTAGCCTTCAGCAATTGCTCCAAATGAGGAATGCTGAGAGACTTGTCAGACAGATTTTAACACCTTTTATTGTCCTACATGTCCCTGTATATCTTCTCTGAGATGGACCTTCAGGAATTCACATTTGAACTCCAACCTGGTGTTCTGGGGCAAAGCTCTCTGATGCCAAATTGATCCTATGCAGGTGAAGGATGCACTGTTCAGTGGGAACTTTTCTGGTGATTCAAGTACAGAGTTCTTTCTTAGAGGACTGTTGATACTGACACCAAATGGAGTATCTTTCCAACCCATCTGTGTTTTTAGTAAGTGCTTCATGTGGCGGAGAAAGAATGGCATTTTTTAAAAAAAATATTCTTTTGTAGCAACAGCAAACCATCCCTTGTTTGGAAGGTGACAGAGTACCAGGTAATAATAACCCATCAGCATGTCACATTGCACCCATGGCACAATGTCGCTGTGAGCACTGAAGAGGGAATCATTGTGCAAAACCGAGAGCTCTTGCAAGGAGAACTGCCTTAGCCATGATTTCCAAGGGAAACCACTAGGTAGACCTATTTATCTTTCAAGTACAGCTTTTTAGGTGGAATGTGAACATGAACTTTCATTGCAAATAATTTTTTTATATAGAAGGTTTTGTACATAAATGTCCATCAAGTGAATATTTTCAGAATCATTTTCACCATAGCACCTTTTTTCTAAAATAGGATTACACACACACACACACACACACACACACACACAGAGGCACACACACATTTTTAGTATATTAAGTAATTATAAGAAGATTGTCAGATCTGTATTATTTATCTGCACAACGCAATGATTTGCTTTTTTCTAAATGGAACTTTGTGCGTCTTGCTTCATTGAAATAAGACCTTTTGTTTCTGAGCACTGACTTTTTATTTTTGCATACTTCTCTCAATACTGCAATTCTCAAATGCAGATTGTGGAATAAGTTAAAAATAGAAATTAATTCTGTATTTTGAATTACTGTCAGAATTTAAATATGTGATTAAACCTTTTTTAAAAAAGTAACATGCATTGGGCTGCAAAAATCGGAATGTTTATATTTCTTAGTCTGTTTTTTGGTTTTGTTTTTGTTTCCCCCCTTTATGTATTCTACGTTTTATTATGTTGAACTCCTGGAAATTTTGTAATAGAATAATCTGCTATCAGCATTAAAATGAGTTGTTGTTGCCCTTGACCTCACTTTGACCACAGGTCCACAGTTTATTGTTATATGAACAATAAAATTTATTGTGTCAGTTGCTTTGAACCTTTGTAGGTGTCATAGTTGTTTTTAATATGCAGCTTTGATGATTGCCGCCTCTTACCCCCTCTTCCCTTCACTGATATATGCGTCTCAGTTAAAAAAAAACAAACTGACTTGACTATAAGGTGGTAACTATTTGGACATATGGCTTTGTCTTTTCACGATTACAGAGTCTTTAAACATTTAAAAGAAACAGCTTTTGTTCTTTAGAAGAATATTTAGTAAGTCATGCAAATCCATCTTCACCTCCTGAAACTCTGATTCAGGATATTTCTCAGAAATCTTACTGTTGTTGCTGATGCTGTTATGTACCATCCAGTCGCTTGCAACTCATAGTGACCTTATGTACAATAGCCCTAAAACCTTCTTTATCCTGTGCCAACTTTACTGTTCGGACACACCTACCCTAGTCACTGAATCAATCCATCTCATTGAGGGTCTTCCTCTCTCTGTCCCTTCACTCTTCCAAACATGACGTCCCTCTCCAAGAATTGGTCCCTCCTTACAACATGGCCGGAAGTACGAAGCCTCAGAATACTTGCCTCCAAGGAGTACCCTGGTTTTACCCTCTCTTCGACAAACCTATTTGTTCTAGTAGTCCATGGTATATTCAACACTCTTCTCCAGCACCACAGCTCAAAGGCATCAATTCTCTTCCCTTGTCTTTATCCAGCTCTCTGATGCATAGCAAGCAATAGCAAAGACCATGGCCTGGATCAGGTGCACCTTAGTCTCTAAATGGACATTGTTGCTCTTCAGTACTCTGAACAGGTCCCTGACAGCTAATTTCCCAATGCAATTTGTCTTGATTTTCTGGCTGCTGGTACAAAAAGTGTCTATTGTGGAGCTAAGCATGATGCTGCCAATCAGCCCAGTGGTGAGAATCTTTGTTTCTTATGTTGGTCTTCATATTGAAGGCTGCAGTCCTTGACCTTCTGCAGTAAGTGCTTCAGGTCCTCAGTTTCAGCAAGCAGGGTTGAGTCATCTGCATAACGCAAGTTGCCGATGAGTCTTCCTCCAATCCTGATGCACATTTCCTTCTCATACAGCACCGCCTCCTGGATGTTCTGCATATAGATTGAAAAGGTAGGGAGATAGTATACATTCCCTGGTGTACACCCTTCCTGATTTTGAACCATGCAGTGTTTCTTTGTTCTAACAACTGCCTCCTGGTCCAAGGGTAGGTTTCGCATAAGCACAATCAAGTGTTTTGGGATTCCCATTCTTCTCATAGTTAGCCACAGTTTGTTGTAGTCCACAAAAACACCTTTGCGTAATCAATGAGACACAGACATTCCTTTGGTACTCTCTGCTTTCAGCCAAGATCCATATAACATCAGCTATAATATCCCTAGTACCTTGGCCTCTTCTAAAACCCAGCCTGCACATCTGGCAATTCTCTGTTGACGTGCTGTTCCAGTTGTTTTTGGATAATTTTCTGCAGAATCTTGCTTATATGTGATATTAATGATATTGCTCGATGTTGTTGTTGTTATGTGCTGTCGAGTCGTTTGCGACTCATAGCAACCCTATGTACAAGAGCCTTAAACCCTGCTCTATCCTGTGCCAATCGCACTGCCTCTGACACACCCATCCCGATTACCCTAGTCACTGAATCAATCCATCTCATAGAGGGTCTTCCCCTCCTGCGCTGTCCCTCTACTCTACCCAGCATGATGTCCCTCCCAAAGACCTGTCTCTCCTTACAACATGTCCAAAGTATGTCAGACGAAGCCCCAGAATCCTTGCCTCCAAGGAGTAGCCTGGTTTTACCCTCTCTAGGATGGATTTTTTTGTTTTCTTGGCAGTCCATGGTACATTCAATACTCTTCTCCAGCACCACAGCTCAAAGGCGTCAATTCTTCTATCCTCCCTAGTCATTGTCCAACTCTGATGCATAACAAGTGATTGCAAAGACCATGTATCAGGTGTACCTTACTCTCCAGAGAGACATCGTTGCTCTTGAGTACTTTAGAGAGGTCCCTAATAGCAGACTTTCCCATTGCAATATGTTTTTTGATTTCCTGACTGCTGGTGCCAAGAGTGTTGTCCATGGAGCCGAGCAAACTGAAGCTGTGAACAATCTCAATCTCTTCGCGATCCATCCTGATGCTACCAATTGGTCCAGTGGTGAGAATCTTTGTCTTCTTGACATTGAGCCTCAGTCCATACTGAAGGCTGCAGTCCTTGACCCTTCGCAGCAAGTGCATGAGGTCCTCTTCAGTTTCAGCAAGCAGGTCTGCATAACGCAGATTGTTAATAGATCTTCCACCAATCCTGATGCCACAATTCTCCTCTTAGAGCCCAGCCTCCCGGATAATCTGCTCTGCATACAGGTTGAACAGGTGTGGAGACAGGACACATCCCTGGTGTACACCCTTCCCAATTTTGAACCATGCAGTGTTACCCTGCTCTGTTTTGACTACTGCCTCTTGGCGATAGGATGTGTAAAACATGTTTATCCTTTCTGTTTTTCTTTCTTCCTCTTCCCACATTCTCTTCCCCCCCCCCTTTACTAACAAATGAATTAAAACTTGTTTAAGTTACTTCCCTCCCCCTTTAATGGGCCAATAGTTCAGTTTTAAGAAGTTCAGACAACCTTGAATGTGATGTTTTGCACCTTGATTTAAAGTTGCTTTATGATTGAATTCTGGAAGAACTTCTAAAAGGATATAAATGGCATTTTACTGTTTTAACACCAGATTACCCCCCCAAGATGTGCTATATGTACACATTAACTGGCAGTATATGAATATCCATTTCTTTGCATTTTCTGTAGCAGGCTCAACTTTATTATATCTTAGCTATTTGCGTATCTGAGAATTGCATGTTAATATCCTTTGGCCATTTTTATACCGGCTTATTTGGTTGGTTCCCAATCCCTTCATTTGAATATATAGGAACCCTAGATAATTAAACTCAACCAAACTCACTTCTCTTGACTTGATTCCAAATCAACAACTCTTGGGTATCTGAGGCAGTAAGTCTTTACAGGAGGAGATTGCATCTTTCTCTCATGGAGCAAATTGTGGAACTCCTATGTTTTGGTTAGTTTTAGATAAATGTTAGTATTTCTTGTTAGATTTGTTGCTTGATTGGCATCATCTGGGTTTTGACCCCTGCTTTGGCCATATATGACCTTACTTAAATCTAGATGTCAAACTCCTCCACCGAAAAATGAGGATAATACATCTAAGTAGCCACAGAGAGAATCCACTTTAAAATCCTGGGGTACCAGAACGATGCTGCAGCCTTCTGCTCTATTCTTGTATGAGATAGGTTTCCTAGGACACCTAATCCTAAAGTCAAGGGAAATTTTGGTATCTGCTTTCTCAGGTTTGATCATTTTAATCCTATTGGGATTTTGGTTAGATAATATATAAATAAAATCCTTACCCTTATAATGAAGAGTCTGATATCTTAATACCACAAGGTATAGGATGTGCAGTAACTGGTCTTTCACTA